CCAGCCGATGTTTGTGTTACTGGTCGGCTAACTAAAGAACCGCCGATATGATCTCCAGTTATTTCTCTTCTGCTTCTTACTATCTCTGACTTTTTTTCAATCTATCTCTTAATTATTTTAATCTCATCTCTCTATTTTTTTCGGCGGCAACCATTTTATCTTTTTGGCATTCTCGTTTTTCTATGATCTTTTTTTGCTCGAGTTTTTCAAATAATTCCCTCTTTTCTCCACATTCATTATGGAATTTTTTGATCATTTCTTCTTGTATTTCCCATTGAAAAAAATAAAAAAAATATTGACTTGTGAAACTGTTCACAATTTGTTTTACTGTTAAACTGTTCACAATTTAACAGTACGTTGTCAAGTCATCATTTACTGGAAATAGCACAGACAGAGTTAATATTCGAAAATCTTATTTAGATGAAGTTCAGGCAAGAAGGAAGGGATATTCGTAATCCCATTCGCCACTGTCTACATTTGCAGTAGATGGGCCAGGTAGATTAGGTAGTTTGGTTGGTCGGGGGTTAAGGTATTTCTTTTGAACTAACCTTTCGCCTTTTCTCTGCTTTTACCAACTTTTCTGTTATCTCTTCCTCTGTGATACATTTAATCTCTCTTCTCTGCAATTTTATCGGGACTGTTTTCCTGGGACTAGCCTCCACTATACCTCAAAACTAATACCTCCAGAAGCTCGAACTTTAAGTCGGTTAATCCACATCTGTTGATTTCTTGTTACTCATTGTTAGAGTCGGTGATGAACATGTCTTCGTTCTTCTATTTCTGGTCACAACAAAGAGGTCAGATTTATCTGTAGATGCATATTTTCCTGGATTTACTGTATTTTTATCCAATATTGGTTCAACTCTGTTGATATGGTTCGAATAAATACAGCCCATTTTTATGTTTTTATCAAAGTTTTGATAAATCCGTAAAAAGCGCGCAACTCTATCTAGGCATAGATAAGAATAAGACGTTACTGGGTTACCTATAATGCATCATGGGATTGGACACAATTGTATGACGTTATTTTGAATTTAGGGGTTGCGCGCTTCTCTATAAACATGACGTCTACACTTGTGTATAGATTTTACGGTAATATATCATTAACTTGTCCGATTTATTACGCGGGCGTATTACTTGTCCAATACCAAGACATATTTATACTTATATTTTACTGCAGGATTACATCTATATTACAAACAACAGGAAGTTTACAAAAAATCAACTCAATTGAGTTTACACTGTGGTCTATTATATTGTAACAAATCCAACCGTGAACATAGATTCCAATAACAATAAGAAAAAAAAAACATCATAGAAATCTGGAATAAAGATTTTTAACATAAAGTGGTGTTTTCATAATAAACTTGTGATAAATAACCAGCTAGGCTATATCTGAGTGTACCAATGCAACTAATTTATTTATACACTCAAAAATCTTATACTCAATAACATTAAGTTAATGTTGAGTTACTCACTCAAAAACTTTTAGTTTATGTTGGTTTATCAAGATCGTCCGCCTTTTTCTCTTTATTTGTTTGTTAGTTCTTTAAATCTGTGCAATAGCCAATCAAAGTATCCATCTGATCAGAGTTGCGCAGTAGTAATACGCCGTAATTATGAACGTCCGAATCAATTTTGATAAAAACAACGCTTGATTTACTTTATTGTCAATATTTGCTGATAAATGAATGTTGTTTCAGTAGATTGGACTGCGTATGTGTAATAAGTATACACTAATAGTATAAAATTAACTTATTTTTAACACTCTTGCTGGCTTGACAGCTCCAGAAAATAAAAAAATAGCCTTATTCTAAGTATTGGATGTTTAAGTGTCCTACCTGTTATGTAAATTATCCATTACATCCTATTTTACTTGTGCAGAGAGTTCGAAAATATTTTTAAATCCAATTCACATTCGAAAAGGTTTACGTTAGGCTTTTCAAATCATTTAGTTGAATTTGTCCAATTTTTTAAATTAGGTGTGTTAAAGTAGCTAAGTCTCTAACTCAATATCATCCAAAATCTTTAACACTGAAAACACGATTTATTTGTCAAATTAAATCAACATTGATGTTGTGATCTTACCGGAATAAGATGGGCTTTTGATATCCAATATTTAAGACAAAATAAACATTTTACCATTGGTACACGAATCGTGTACCATAATGCGCTTCAGCCCCAGTTGTAAAAAGAGACTCGGGGGACGAGGCTAGACACATTGCACCAAATCGAACGGCGTATGTAGACTGGAATAAACAGACGCTAGACATTTGCACTCGATTGAGACTGCTGGCTTATTTCGCCGAACATAACTGATTTGAATTTGGAGTAAAAACGGAAACCATTGAATGTAAATCAGTTTATATACATTCATATTACAGTATTACATTGTATATGCGTTGCGACCCACTTTTGTCAATTTCTAGGTCCCAAATGTTAGCGATTTTTAAGATGAAATTCGTATCATCAATTAATTGGAATGTTGTAAAATAGTATAATTTGTTGACCAGAATAAAGATTGGGACATATTATTCAGTTACAACAAGAGTGGTATTGAGCCATTAAGATGGTACATACATTAATAAAGAAATTGAGTTTGCCACTTGGAACTAAAGGCATCCAATCGTAGCTAAAAACAAGCACATCAGTATATCTCAGCGTTTTTAGTTACGTTCTCGTAGCTAGGTTGGAATATGTAGGACATTAAAGGAGCTAAATCGCTAATATTTTGGATCTAGAAATTGACACAAATGGGTCGCAACGCATATAATAATAATAATGTAATGTGAATGTATATAAACCGATTTACATTCAATCGTTTCTGTTTTTACTGCAATTTCTAATTCGTTATGTTCGGCGAAATACGCCAGAAGTCTCAATCGAAAGGCAAACTCTAGAGTCTGGTTATTCCACTCTATACCGATAGTATTTATTGCGCATGCTCTCCAGATAAGAATATGGCGTCACCGTTTGACATGACTTGTGGAATATATCTACCCTCTTTCTACGAGTCCCTTGTTAAAAATGGCGCTGAAATGCACCATGGTACACGAATGATTCGTGTACCAACGCTAAAATGTTTATTTTGTCTTAATTAATGGATATCAGAAGCCCATGTTTTCCCCGTAAGATCACAACATAAATGTTGATTTAAATTGACAAATAATTCATGCGGGATATAACATGGTCTCAATCACGGATGTGTATAACCTAATTTTAAGTTCAAAATTCAAATTCTGAGTGTAACTTTTCTTTATTTTTGAAGATTGCCACTTGAAACTTTCAAAACCTTCCTCCAATACTTTTCAAAAAAATAATACAAAACGGCAGTGAAGCAAATGATGTCAAGTGAAAAACATAGCCCTTTGGTATACTATTTGAGAGGGCGGAAACAGCATGTATAGGAAGATATCACGCGTGGAGGTGTTGTGTGTGTGTGGGGGGGGGGGGGACGTTCAAACCCCAAAACACCTCTCAAATGCCCCCCCCCCCGCGCCGCCCCGCCCCGACACGTACTTCTCCGGTTCCCCTCCCCCGTGTGACCGTGTCCAAGTATTACTCCTGCAGTGCCCTAATTTTTATGATTGAAAATATTCCGGTTTGTAAAAACAGTAAACAATTTCTTCCTCTATCTCAATATTTACTTGGTATTTTTTTTTTTTTTTTTTTAAAGTAACAAAGAACAGAGGGTGTAACGTTATAACTGAAAGGATTGAACAATCATTTTGGCTCCATTAACGCGCAAGGAAGCTCTCTTATGTTTATACCTATCCTCTTTTTAGACGTAGCTAACGTCATCCAATGAAATACAGCGTATCATTCGGCTAACTTGATTGAAAGAACAGGGAAAGCAATCTGCTCAGCAGTAAATAAATTATTCGCTTGGCCGCAACTATTAGTATTAGTACTATTAAAAGGAATGCCATCGGGGCGAGTTATATTAGCTCTAAATAATAACTATTAATCTTCCGTAGATTATATTCTATAAAAAATAATTAAAATTATTAAAACAATTAAAATTAAAACAACATGCTAACGAGGTCGTATGACGTGACGTCACACGTAGACACATACATTAATGCACGTGAACTTATAGAAAATAACATTGCTCAAAAAATAATTTTATTTGAAAACATTTTGCACAACGTTATTCAAAATGATAAATAGTATTTTATGGTAAAGGTCATTTGAATTTTATATTGGTTTCTATAGATTTCCAATCACATTTTCTATTAGCCCGATGAGACTTTTTGATCCTTTTTGTATTTGGATATGCTTATATTAACACCAATTTCTCATTTAAAATTGGAGCCACTTTGACAAGTAAGTGGGTTTATATGCTGGCCCGCTAGCCTGGAGGTCGCGTTGGCCGAGAAAGTTCATTTTCAATGGTGCAGGTTCGATATAAGAACAGGCCATATTGTGCAGCTGCCGGGGCAAAATTTCCCTCATAGCACATTGTATGAGGTATGCCCGTCGTCATTAGCGCAGTCGGAGCAGAACAGTAGAACCTGGGCCCATTTCATTTCACTTTTTCATTTAAAATAGTTTGCCCTCTGAAGACTGAGATTGATATGAACGATTTGGTGACTTAAATTACTGTGCCCTTAAAATGTCTAATAATCTTGATTTTTTTAAAGATTGTTTCTCATCCAAAAATTGATATGATATGACGTACGGTAGTTAAATATTTTATGTCTCTAGTGTAAAAAGGCAAAATCCTATGCTTATTGCCTGTAATTTTTGTGTGTCCTGTCAGCTTATTTGTCTTATTTTGTGGTTTTTGTTCGTGTGTGGTGCGATCTTTGACTATTAGATAATATGTACAGTCTTAAAAAGTGTAAAATTATAAAATACTCAAAATGGATCAACAACTGTCAGAGAGATATTTATACACGCACGGATCTATGAATAATAACCGAGGTTTGTCGAGTGAAATTATGGACCGGTACGAGAAAGGTGATTGGCTGGCTATATTTAGCACCTTTGCCAGAAAATGACGACAATAATAATAATGGCGATGTTATGGTATATTTATTAATAAATGATCTATATTTAGTAATAAACTATTTCAGAGGTATCCATGACCAATGCGGAAGATTGCAAGAATATTTTAGGTCTTTAGTTTTGATTCCCAACTTTCTCCGACTGATATGCTACGCTGGAACACGTTGGTTACGATATACAAGTAAAGTATTGGGTAAGTAATTTCATTGCCAACTATTGAACTAAGTAAATGAAATGTGAATGAATGTGTGTCTGCTAACTACTAAACTAGTAAACTGCACAGTTTGACTTCTTTCTTTGGATGTTTGCTTGTCTCCTCAACTCAGTCACAGGCATATGCAGGCATGAAATTAAACTACCCGTTAATTAGTTTGAATTGAATTTCAAAATAATCAGTGTGATATAAGGGTGATTATCCCATGGGTGTGCAAAGTTGAATGTTTTTGTGTCACTCGAGTTTTTTTCTGTTTTTTTTCTTTAATTTTAAAATTTAAAAGTATTGCATGTAACTCCCCTTCATTTTTACAGAAAATATGGATAAGAATTTTGGATTTATTAAATAGTTTATACATTTTATAAGATCAGACATGGGAGAGCTGGGGCCCTGTGGGTATGCTTTTCAATGTCACTGACACTACATGTATTTTTCAAATTGTTCTTTACTATATTGATCAAAAAAATAATCATGCCAATCAGGGCGCATAAGCATCTACTAGGACTATTGTCAGATTCAGTATACAACAGAGTCGTAAGGTATTGTTGTAGAATCTTTAAAATTCAAATTTTAAATTGTCACTATCAAAATGCTCAACACCGTTTCCCGCAATATAACTTATCTACTGAGGCGAGGGTCACTTCACCACGTGCCACCAACCATATCTGTCAGTCTGGCCTGTCCAGATTGAAAACAGCTCTGTGAATATTATAGAGTTAAAGGTAAATCCAATAAAAGTTCTGATTTTGCTTGCGAGTATTAATTCATAATCAACACCGTAACGTGGTTTTCTTGCATTTGTAGTCGATTTGATCAGAAACAATGTATATATTTAATTTTGAAATGGTGTACCGATACCTAATATACGTTAACGACGTTTCTCACACATGCGCTCTTGGCTCAAAACACCATAAACTCCATGGTTCTCAACACCGTAACGCTCAACTCCGTAACATTAAGTTTTGTTACGGTGTTGAGAAACCAATACGGTGTTGAGGTTTGGTTCACCAACGCCTAAATTAAATCTTATCTTATCAACATAATTATGTAGAATAACATGTAGTTCCTCTAATATTTCACCGGAGTGGATATTTAGACCGGGAGCCCATGGGGTCAACCTAGCTGAAAATTTTCTCCTATTTGGTATCAATGTATGTATATCTGGTATCATCAGAATGTAAGTCTGCCGGGTTTCTGGTGGTGGGTGTGTAATTCAACGCCCTAAATGCCATGATCCCCAACTAGGCTAGATTAGCTCAAAAGTGTACCACACGTAAATCTTACTGCAATGTACCGTACATCTTCAGATATTACAAAAAAACTCTGACAGACATTTCTAGTGGTGGGGTACCCCTGACAGAGCTATGTAATTGCCAGACATTTGTAGTGGTGGAGTATCCCCGACAAGAGTTATCTAATATTTAGACCAATGCTAGACTAGATTAGCTGAAATCTGTACAACCTAAAACAGCTTTGGAGTTGTTATGTACCACCACAGGAGTCATGAATGACCACTGCCAGACAGTTTGTGCGGTGGGTTACCCCTAACAGACACGCCCCAAAATGCCACGACCCCAACTAGGCTAGCTTCGCAGGCACTGTTCGCGTATTCTAAAAAATTAAATTTTTAGCCAGGATGCGTAGTATACTAATACCTAGACAAGTTGGGGGGGGGGGGGCGTGGCATTTTGGCGTGGAATACCACACCCACCGCCAGAAACCCGGCAGACTTACATTCTGATGATACCAGATATACATACATTGATACCATATAGGAGAAAATTGGTACACTTTTCAGCTAGGTTTACCTCCTGGGCTCCTGCTCTAATTCTCCACTGGGATGGCAAACATCCTATAACGATAAAGATAGTTATTGGCCATTCGTTTTATACAATAAACTTAAAATTCGAGTAGATTGCTTGTGCTTTAATGGAAAATACAGAATCCAAATCCCTTTCTAATGGTCATTTTGTGAATTGAAGGGTGATAGTGTAAACAGACGCCCTCGTTTATAGCGAAGCGAAAGATAGAGAAACCGACATTTTGTATAGATGGGAGTAGAATGTGAGAAGTTTCATATTCTATGAAAGTGTGTATCTTTCTAAACCAGGAAATTGTAAAACACATTTATTTGTACTGTGTTGATCACAAATAAGATAAACTACAAACCTAATCCAATTTCATTCCTGTAGAGCGAAAAAGGCAGGTCCTATTGAAATGGGCCTGTCTGTCTGTTTGATCAGCCCACCCGGACTACATTTCATTGTCAACCTCAAATTTTATCTGCAACCTGTATATTTGATCTCTTACCATATATTTCATTTACCACCAATCAGGGCCGTAACTAGCTCAGAGCAACGGGGGTGGGGGTGGTGGCGGTGGGTGGGAGGGGGAAGTGTTCTCAGGGGTGCTGTAAAAATGACGGACAATGTATATCTAGGAGGGCTTCCAGAAAAATTTTCAAATTGAACTGCCGGAAACGCTATTTCCTGCACTCTGGGCAGCCTCGTCAATCGACTTTCTCCCTTTCACACCGAAGAAATCGGTCAATTTTCATGCAAGACCCCTCATTTGAAGAAAATTTGAGCAGAAAACCTCCAAATAGTCCTCTTTGAAGATCTGAAAAAGGTAAAAAATCAAGAAATCTGGATAAAATCCGTAAACACTGCGAATCCGATATCAAATACCGATGATTTTTTTCTCATGGGGCGAAATTTTTTATGGTACTAATTTTAGTTATACAGGCGTGCTACCAATATATTTCATTTCCAACCGTGTGTTTTATTTGACACCCGTATATTTCATTTACTACCCATATATTTCATTTCCAACTGTGTGTTTTATTTGACACCCGTATATTTTATTTACTACCCATATATTTCATTTCCAACCGTGTGTTTTACTTACCACCCGTATATTTCATTTACTTCCCATACATTTTATTTCCAACCTCATGGTTTTTATGCCAACCGTATAATTAATTAGTGTTAAATCAGTATTTTATCAAGATTTTAATGTGCTCCCGATAATATCGATCAAATATTCAACGAGTTTTGATTGTGTCTGGAATAAAATGTTCAATAAATTACATGTTCTTGAAAGGTTTAATATATATATTTTTTTGTAAAGTAGCAAACTGTTATGTAAACATACTTTTTTTTATAATATCTAATATAAGGTTATTGTTTATTATATAAAGTCACCAATTTAAAAATATCAATCTGAGCATTATCATTTCGCATAAGGGCATATGTTATCTCAACACCGTCACATAATTTCAACACTGTCACGGGAATTCAACACCGTCACAGAGTGTAAAATCTCTCATTGCTACTTTTTCTTAATGTTAAAGAACCATTTTATAAGCGGACAGAAATACTAATTGATCAGTCTGTGTTACTGAATCAAGAAATCAAATACAAAATCATGTTTTTATTGCGCTACACTTTAATACAATTACAAAATGTGGAGCGATTTGTGGTAAGTGGTATAAACTACAAATTACAGCAAAGAAATTATGACGATATAAAAAGAAATTTTATTTTTGAAGTGTAATCCCCTTCATCTTTTCAGAAGGGTGAATGTTTTTGCGTTTTCTGGTTAATTTAAAATATTTTTTGACTATACAATACCGTTACGGTGTTGAGATTTTGTAAAACACGTTCCACTAAAAGCTTAATTTTTTGTCTTAAAATTCTAAAGACTGCATGTCAATTCATAACATAGGACGTAGAAGATACTAGTTGTCAAAACAAAGTCAAAAATGTATCGCTTCGAGATGGTTCAATAATTCGGAACTCTGATACCATGAATGCACACTCACGAGATAATTACCCATAAATATAAATATATAATAAAGCTGATATGTGGTTTTACGTAGCCTAGCACAGTACGTATGAGTTTTTCCTTTGAAACATCATAATATAAGGCAAAACGATGCCATGAACAAAAAAGACATCAACTGATCAACTGTTTGTTCAGTGCTGTAATTGTCTACGATATCGTTCAGCAAATAAATACAGTTAATTCTTACTAATACTTAACCCGTGTGTGTGTGCTCACATTTAGTTATCAGTAATCAGAACCCTGGTATTTTGACTGTTAGCATGGAGGCCACAGTGGCTCAGTGAGTAAAACATTGGTTCGCTAAACTGGAGGTTGTGTGTTAGATCCTGGTGTTGGCGGAGAAATTTCATGAGTTCCCATTTATCAATGATACATCACAGAGCCTGGCAAATTGCCAAATGAAAGCGCATTCAGATGGGTCGAAAAACCAAGGTCCCATGTAGGCCTACACATTGGTGTGCACATAAAAGAACCCCATGACGGCTGGAATTCGAAATAAGAGAAAAACATAGTGCCACTGTCCAACCAAAATTTCTGACATAACACACAATATGGCATATATGAACATTTTCCTTAGTCCAGTCAATGCAGAACTGTATGTAGGCCATTATAAAACCCTGTTTCATTTTGTTATCGACATTTTGTTATGAAATTTGCTAATTTGATATTCGCGCACATTGGATCATAACTTCCTGAATTATGGCCCCTGATAGTACTAAAATTCACATTTTTAGCTTGTGGTCCCTCTAGAGGTCACAATTTTTATCCGATTTAAAAAAACGTTTTAGTATATCACCGTTACACCCTAATGATGGTTGAGTTCGAATTTTGCAAAAATCGGACCAAAACTGCCAGACAAAATGTCCGTCCCTTGTACGCAAATAGTGTAAAATATGGTATATCAAGGTTGTGGACCCTCTAGACGTCACAATTTTCATCCGATTTTGATGAAACTTGGAATGCATGTTTATATCCCAAAGATCTTGTTTCCTTTTGATATTCACGCATTTCGGATCATAACTTCCTGTTTTTAGCTTGTGGACACTCTAGAGATCACAATTTTTATCCAATTTCGATGAAACTTGAAATGGATGTTTATAACCCAAAAAATCTCGGTTCCTGTCAATGTTCACACATAACTTCTTGGATTATGGCCCCTGATTGTACGAAAAATCACTTTTTTTAGCTTGTTTTCTGTCCATCTCTTGTAAAATGTGGGCGCAACTTGCATGACAACTGCTTGTACTTAGTTTCATTTCCTTGTAATTCACTGACATGATATTCTAGGAGCTATCAATATTTGTCAGAACTAAATTTCAAATCTAATAAAAGCTTGTGTTTTGTCTTTTTTCAGAAAATGAAAAATTTTTACTCAAAGTTCATAGACGTGTGGATGATAGTCATCAAATTTTAATCAGAGGTATCCAGAGAAACTATAACAATATTACCTTTTTGGTGCAAAAAATCAACTCACAGAAGATAGAATGAAAGATTACCAACCAACTGTAAATGCATCCCCTGAGACAACTAAATTATCTACTGGTACATCCAAGTCTACTGGGGATAAGTTAATGTCTGGAAAATCCAAGTTTACTAAAGATAATCCTGCAACATTTGAAACGAATGATGAGCCTGGAACTTCAAGGTCTACTGATGACAGATCTGAAACATCAAAGCCTATCGAAATGACTGCTGGACCATCCAAATCTATTGATGATAATAATACTGGACCACCGAAGCCTACATTTAGGGATGATGATAGTGATTATTTGTGGGCTTATGATGATGATGAGCATGATGATGATGATGATGATGAATTTGACGAACTCTTCGCCGTTGATTATCATGATGATGAATTTGACGAAGTCTTCGACATTAATCATCCCAATAATCATTTTCATTTAGATAGAAATGAAGGCGTTAATGGAACCCCTTTATTTCCACAGAGCCCTGAAGAAGAGTCATTATGTGAGATTTGCTATGATCATAGAACTGTACGTAAAAGATTATGTTGTGAAACACGTATTTGTTCTCAATGTTTAAATACATATTTAGAAGGTAAGTTCAACTTGTGTAACGAGGGTGGGTGGATGACTGAATGGTTAGCACGTGCGCCTGTCCAACCCCGTGGGTTTTCTCCGGGGCCTCCGGTTTCCTCCCACTGCTAAAAACCCCTACGCGCAAGCAAATTATGTAAATAAAATATTGAACCATATGTTAGTCCTGAAATGACCTAGTTTGTGTCGAGTAAATGTTAAACCCCATCTCTCTCTCTCTCTCTCTCTCTCTCTCTCTCTCTCTCTCAACTTGTGTAATTTTAGTGGAAGCCACAGTGGCTCAATGAGTACAACGATGATTCACTAAATAGGAGATTTAATGCTGGGGTTCGTTGACTGAATGGGGATCGAAATGTCTGTCATTGTGTCAAACGGTGTGGTTTTGATTCACCATGGTAGAGTCGCCTGTCCAACCTCGAGTTCTCCCAGCTGAACCAGGTGTTAGTCTCAAAATAACCTAGTTTGTGTAGGGTGGACATTAAAGTAGCTAAGTCCGTAACTCAATATCATCCAAAATCTAAGACATTGAAAACACGAATTATTTTGCAATTTAAATCAGCATTGGTGTTGTGATCTTACCTGGAAAAGATGGACTTCTGATATCCAATATTTAAGACAACATAAACATTTTACCATTGGTACACGAATCGTGTACCATAATGCGTTTCAGCGCCATTTGTAACAAGGTGCTCAAAGAATGAGGCTAGACATATTCCACAAGTCATGTCAAACAGTGATATCATATTCTTACTTGGAGAGCATGCGCAATAAATACTATCGGTGTTGACTGGAATAACCAGACGCTAGAAACTGACTTGCGGCTGAGACGTCTGGCGTATTTCGTCGAACATAACTGATGACAATTCACAGTAAAACGGACACGATTGAATGTAAAACAGTTTATATAAATTCATATTACATTATTATATGTGTTGCGACTCATTTTTGCCAATTTCTAGGTCCAAAATATTAGCGATTTAGCTCCTTTAAACTCCATTTTTCTCTCTCTTTTTAATCTTGGTGCTGGACCCGATGTCCTGCACCACATACTAAACTTAGGCTGCCTGCCTACAGTTACATTGTAGCTCCAATTGAGAACACTACAGACACTAAGCAATTTGAATGACATTTTAAGTCCTCAATCGATGACTAGTCGAAAACACTAAGTATTCTTCGAGAATTTTGAGAAGTATTTATTCTGCTTCCATTTAATGGAATTGAATAGGTTTAATAAGTCTTTGCGTGTATGACAGATGTGAAACGGAGTAGAACCACATTACAAAACAGTATACAAAATTTTGGATATGGCGGCCATTCAGGGCAGATTTATTCTCGAAGTAGATGGATCTCTGTGCAGAATTTCCTGCACCACTGACAAGGGGAAACCATGCTTAAAAATCCGGAAGAACTTTCCTAATGTCCGTGGTGCAGGATGGGGATATCCCGTGTAACGCAGTTGAAACATGACACATAATAAGAGGAAACGTTTTGATGGTACAGAAAAGTAGCTTATAAATCCCCCTTTCATTTCATTTCTGATCCATTATACAGGGTGAATGAATGATGGTTATGTTCAATTAATGGTCATTTTGTTACATCTTTTATTAAAGGACGAGTTAATGATGATAATGATCTTATTTACTGATCTTTTATTACAGGGCGAGTTAACGATGGTCATGTAAAGATTGGATGTCCGGATTCACTGTGTGATTCTTACATACATCGTGATGAGATCCTTGCATTGTTACCACTTGATTTAAAGGAGAAGTTCTATCGTTACCTGATTGATGCCAATAAAGATCCCTGTATTAAAACTTGTCCACGGTGTAGCCATGTTAAACATGTTAGCATGGATCAACTAGAAAATAAGATTGTTAAGAAGAAAGGTAAATAGAAAATGGTGACTGTAATCGAGTTTAAGGGTAATATTGACATGCAATTACGTATGTATATATTTAAACTGTTTCTAATCGAAGAGAGGTGTTATACATAGACATAGCCTGTTCGCCAATTCAAATTCAGATGTTTACTGAATAAAAATATTGTTTATAAAAAAAAGAACCTTACAATATTGATATTAATTAGAAACAAACAATTAGAAACAAAGCATGTCTAGTCCTTCGGGGGTGGGGTGGGGGGGCAGATGGCCAAATATTTAGCGTGCGTTGTATCATAAAGTCTGTCATTGAGTCAACTGGTGTGGTTTCGATTCCCCAGTTGTACATGACATGGAATAGGGTCGCCTGTCCTCCGGTTTCCTCCCACTGCTAAAGACGTTCCTTTACTATAATGAATATTAAGATTTAAACAATAGGCTTTATACTGGAAACTGAAACTGTTATAATGTCTAGATTTACTTTTGGACAAAATACTTTTTAAGGAAAACCATGTTTTCTATCATTCTTCAATAAAGAGAATTGGATGGCTGAATGGTTAGCGCGTGCATTGGATGGCCGAATGGTTAGCGCGTGCATGCTGAGTCAACTGGTGTGGTTTGGATTCCATGGTTGTACGTGACAAGGAGTAGGGTCCCCTGTCCAACCTCGTGGGTTTTCTCCGGGACCCCTACACGCAAGCGAATTATTGAAATAAAATTGAACCATATGTTAGTCCCAAAATTACCTAGTTTGTGCCGAGTGGACGTTAAACTCCATTTCTCTCTCTCTAAAGTGAATTCAAAGAATAAAAATTACCTTAAAGATACATTATGGGAGATAAGATAAAGAGCTGGCCGTTCTCACTATAATAGTTAAAAACTAGATAATGTAAAGGCAATTTGCTGAAAATTTCTGTCAAATTGATCCACTATGAACTGAGAATTAAGCGATTGAAAGTTTGACCTAGCCTTGATCATCATTACTAAAGTCTGTACGATAAAAAACATAGTCTCGATCATCCATTTCATGATTAAATTATGAATGGAAGTCGAGAAGCAAATGGGATCATAATCCAGTAAATATCGCTTTCTAGCGATGCCATCAAGAGTTGATTATGGCCTGGATAAGTTAATTAATGTCTAATTAATAATTTAGATAACATTTCAGGCCTAAAGAAAGACCTGCAATTGGCAGATTTAGCTTTTGCATAATGTATGTTTAAATCATTTCTCATTGAGCTCATTGAACACCTTATTGCACTTTCATTGAACACATCATTGAGCTTCTCATGACTAATGTAGATTTAGTTTTAGTGGTGTATGTCTTGTTGCCTGGCAACCCATCTTTAGTTGTACTGTTGTATGTTACAGGTCTGGAAGTAATGTGTGAGAAATGTGAATTACAGTGGTGTTTTCCCTGTCAGGCTCCGTGGCATGAAATGATCTCATGTAAAGAATATCGTAAAGGTGATCGCATGTTACAAACCTGGGCACATCAACAGATGAACGGCCAGCTTAATGCTCAAAAGTGTCCCACATGTAAAGTAAGTAGACTCTGGTGCTGGCACGATATATCGTTGAATCGAGACTGAAGACACACTTTTTCCGTGTAGCTTACTGTGAAAGACTCATATTTAACTAGTGTTTTCCTCTTGTGTCATTGATGAGTTTTCCCATGCGCGGTTGAGCAGTTTTCTGGAAATGGCGCATTATAAGTATTTTAATTCATTCATTCAATTGATGTATTGCGATTCACCTGCTCACGATTCGCGTATTGAATCACAAGACGCCTAATCGATATTTCACAATTCTTTTTTCTTAAATTGTTTTGTTCCTTATTTTGATTCATATCAATATCATGATATAAAAGTTTCATTTCTACGACATCGGCAAGACTTAAAATATCAATTATTGATTTATCTTGTTGTTTTCTTGGTAAATATCGACCTGGTTATGAATTGTGATTTGACTCGTATTGTAGCAACTTAGTAGCAGTGCGTGTCATGTCGCAACTGCAGTGGCGATACCCAGCACTAATAGACGTCCAGGTCCCTTTTCATTAATCAAATTAAAATTTGAATACAGTCGAAATATGGTTGTATATTGCTAATGCTAGGTTCCCACTATCACGATTCGTGCTACGATTGAAAGCGTTGTTTTATTCCTGGAGTAATTGTGGGGATCCTATTCGATTTTATCATGCGTTGAGGTCAGTCATAGCAGTTCATGGACTCAATAGGGACAATCCTATTTTAACGCATCACACGGCAGTGGGAACATAGCATTAGTGTAATGGTAGGGGAGGGGAGCAGCCCCAAGGTGATCCTATTTGATTTTATCATGCGTTGAGGTCAGTCGTGTTGATCGTATCGAAACGGATCTGCACTTAGCAGTTCATGGACTCAATATGGACAATCCTATTTTAACGCATCACACGGCAGTGGGAACATAGCATTAGTGTAATAGTAGGGGTGGGGGAGGGGAGCAGCCCCAGGTATCCACATTTCAATGAGTGAGAGGGACATCCAATTCATAACTGACCATGATTTAGTTAAAGTTTTGTTTATTTGTTTGTATATTTTGTATAATTGTAGTTCTTTTTGTGGTTATTTTTGTATTCATATTTTTGTATACTTATGTATGTTGTATAACTGGATATTTTGTATAATTGTAGATATTTTGTATAATTGTAGAAATTTTTGTATAATTGTAGATATTTATTCAGAGGGTATCCGGTTGTGATAACATGAGTTGTTCTTCCTGTCATACAAGCTTCTGTTATCGATGTGGTAAACGTTTCCGCAGTCTAAAATTATTGGGCAACCATTTTAGTCGTTTCAGTCCACTAGGATGTAAATATAATTTATTACCTAATCGACCAGGAACCAGACGCTTTCTGCGGGGAGTGGTTTTTGGTAAGTTAAATTTTTATTTCTCTCATTTGTTGTATGCTGTCCAAAAATTGAGGTCCCATGTTCATGTTGGTGTGCACTTACTAGAACCCTTAACATTTGGCATGAGGGCTGCATGACACAGGGCTGGCAATGAACAGTGTCTAGTGGTTCAGGCGGGACAAAAGAACAAGGTCCTGTGTACACGTAAAAGAACCCTTGAGAGTTAGTTTTCATCCCATCCAAAGGACTAGACAAAATGAAATGAAATGAAATGAAATGGGCTTTAACGTCCTACTGTTCTGCTCCGAACTGGGCTAATGAAGACGGGCATATGCCATACAGTGTACTGTGAGGGAAATTTTGCCCGGACAGCGGCACTACGGCCTACTCTTATAAATCCAATGGTCAATTGATCTTTACATGCACAGCAATGTGTATCACTGTATCACTTACAAGCAGGAAATCTGGATGAACTTTTCGGCCAATGCAGGGATCGAACACCCAACGTCCAGGCTAGCGAGCCAGCGTTTTTCCCACTTAGCCACTGTGATCTCCACACTTGCCCCTAAAAATTGAGAACCAGGTTTGAAAAATGCCAAATGTAAATTACATCGTGTTTTGTTCTATATTTAAAGGTGGTAAGTTATTGGGTGGTGCAGTATTAGCCAGTTTAGCATTGGCCGCCGGAGCTGTATTGGCCGGATCCTGGTTTATTATAGTACCAGCTGTTGTGGGATATAAACTACACAAACGACGGAGACATCGTCGACGACAACAAACAATACAGAATAGAATGCTTCATGACCATGCACATGATTTAGCAAGAAATATACGGGAAGAACAATTTGACATGGGGACACAAGAGTTAGATTTAGGTAAATATCAATAATGGATCTAAGTAAATATCAATGAGAATTAGATCTTGGTAAATATCAAGAATTAGATCTAGGTTATTATCAATTAGAATTAGGTCCAGGTAAATATCAATTAGAATTAGATCCAGGTAAATATCAATCCATAACCGATCAAGGTAAAGAACAGTCTTAAATCTTTGTAAATATCAAACCACAGTAATTAGAATTAGATCTAAATAATGTCAATTTGAATTAGATCCAGCTAAATATCACTTACTGACACAACAATTAGAATTAGATCCAGCTAAATATCACTTACTGACACAACAATTAGAATTAGATCTAAGTAGATATCAATTTCTGACACCAAAATACATAGCAATGATCAAGCTCATTTCATCTGTTTTCAGATGTATATGAGAATCTCAACAGTACAGAGAACTGGACAATGCTGACTCGTCTGGAAGACTCACAGGAAGTAGAAGTACTGGTTCATAGTTCAACGAATGCTGCCATTGCTTCCGATAAAACCATCTCGAAAGACAGAACGGAAAATACTGTTGTAACGTTTACTAATGTTAGAGAGGAAACCAACGAGGAAGGATACACCCGGGTTGTGGCTCACATTGTTGCAAAAAACGCAGACGACAACGATGTAAAGAACGCAGATGTGAAGCAAGATTTGACAAATCAGAGAAAATTATCAAAAGATTCAACATCAAGTTTCAAAGAGGATAAAACTGACATAGCAAGAAAGTTATCTTTGAATGAATCTGAATTAATTGATGGCGAAAATCCGGAACTCAGTAGTGATACGAATGGATGTTTCGTTAATATTTTCAGTAAAAAATGGCAGGCACACGATACCTTGCCAAAAACATTTATCGCATCCAAGTTTAAATCTAGTACATGGGAGAAAAGTGGGAAAAAACGTGACAACATCGATATTAGGACATTTTCTAATTTTTTCGCGAACCAGTCAGAGAAAGCTACCACGTCATGTGATACTAATGATGTCCCAGAATGCAGTAGTTCAGAAAAGGAAGTATTTAAACTACCAACAGATTATGTTACTTATCTGTGATGATGCACAAATTTTATTTCAGATTAATAAGTTATAGTTACAGACAATATTAAGAGTTACTTCTAAAAGCCCATTAATATTTAGAAATTAAATGGGGTTTAACGTCCTACTTTTCTGCACCAACCATGCTAAAGAAGATTGGCATATGCCATGAAGTGTGCCAATCTGATTAAAATACAGATCTATATTTTTCGTTTCGATTTTTTATACTTTCAATGGCCTCTACTACATGAAGATCTGACCGGTTGTAGTGGAAGGTCATGTCAGAGGTCATAAGATCGGCTTTTGACCCTATGATGTCAGACATTTGATTAATCAATCTGTATTGATGTTTCTAGTTGTAACTTGTTGTAACAGACCGTTTCATTGTCCACGCAACAATTTCCTCATACTGTAGCACACTTCCAATCCAATTAAAACACAGACCCTATTTCGTTTCGTTTTTTATAGTTTAAAATTTCGTTTTACTTGTCTTTACTACACTAGGATCTGGAAGAGTTGTTATATAACCCACCGAATCCCAACTGCCAAGGGGTCCTTTACATGCACGTCAACGTACACACAAGGCCTTGGATTTTTCAACCCATCTGAATGACTAGATACTGTTCCTTGCCAGGCCCTTGGTTGTGCATCACCCAGATATTTAGAATATGTTATATGTATAACACAACAAGTATGATAGTAGCCTACTATAGGGACCATGAACCAAGTATTAATCATCATCCTCATCTTGGAATTGTGACATCATATAAAAATCGATGCCGTCAACCCCTTGCAATTATACAAGGAACAAGCATTTACAGAGCCTTTGGCTTTTGTCAAAGAGAGTCGCCCCCAAGACGAAAAAGAACAAGATGAGTACCGCTTGGGGCCCAGCTCCTGGTTCAATAAATCTAGTGTGCATTAACTTCTTGTTTTATATTTATATTCTACGACTTTGATCTGTGATCATTACCGTGATTAGTTTCTGTGATATTAATTTATGTCAGATATATAATTAGATGTATATAATTAACCGGTTAATGTCAAGTATTTAATTAGCCGATTAATTCAAGTATGTAATTAGCTGTATATAATTAACCAGTTAATTTTAGGTATAAAATTAGCTGGTAAATTCATGGATATAATCTGCTGGTTAAAGTATATAATTACCCGGTTAATGAAAGTATACGATTACCTGATTAATTAAGGTATATAATTAGCTGTATTTAATTAACCGGTTAAGTATATAATTAACCAGTTAATGTCAAGTATATGATTAGCTGGTTAATTTAATTCAAGGATATATTTAGCTGGTTAATTCAATTATATAATTAGCCGGTTGCTTCAGTTATATAATTAGCTGGTTGATTCAAGTATATAATCAGCCGGTTAAGTATATAAATAATCAGTTAATGTCAAGTATGCCGGTTAATTCAAGTATATAATCAGCTGGTTAATTCAAGTATATAATTATCTGGTTAAATAATTAACCAGTTAAGGTCAATATATAATTGACCACTTAGCATATGTACATAATCAGCTAGTTCAAATGTATAATTAAACAGCATTTTAACAAACTGTTAATTTGTAATTAGGTTTGTAACTGATCTAGAGGGTAACTATATAACTTGTCTTTTATCCATTTTTCATGTGATTTCTACATATTTAATCTGAAATCTTGCCTGGTGACAGAAGTATTTAGTCTAGTGTCACTTGACTGCATTTGTCAACATGGAAAGGTGTGAAAATACATTTAATAATCCCCTGTTTTGTCACATATTTTAGCATGTTATTTAATCTGAAATCTTTCCTCGTGACACAAAATTATGCCATTTTTAATGTTGATAAAATGGAATGCCGTGAAATGCACAATTGCCACAAATTTTCCCAGCACATTTTCCAGTATAAAATATCTCCTCGTTTTATTTCTGAAAACATTATTTAATCCGAAACTTTGGACAGCACAAATTTTATGTACACAATTGACTGGCATAATTTACCGGTCTCTCCTTCAAAGGTCTGATGCACAATTTAGTGCTGTAAGAATCCCTTGCAGGCTACAATAATGCAAAAGTTGAATCTCTAATAGACATATCAGCCCAAAAATGGTTCATTTCTTTCAGTATTTACAAATTTATGTTAAATTGAAGTTTCATCGATCTGTGCTGCTCAAGCGTAATAATACCCCACTATCCTGATGGACTTAGTTCAAGACCCCACTATCCTGATGAACTTAGTTCAAGACCCTACTATCCTGATGGACTTAGTTCAAGACCCCACTACCCGATTGAATCCAAGCTGGGAGGTTATCTAAAGTTGATACATGTACTTTGATTTTGTTTTCTTATTTAAATGTTAAATAATCAATCTGAGTACATATTTAGTGTGCATTAAGCTTTGAGAAATTAGATATTTTAGCAAAAATGCAAATGGGGATCAGGACTTTAAAATACAGATTTGTGTTTGTAATATATATGTATGTATTTTTTGTATACTTGTAGACATTTATTGATTGAGACTTTAAGTCAGGGTTTTTTTTAAAACTAAAATATGTGTTTTGTTAATGATAATGGTTGTTTTAATATTTGTAAATATTTATTATTATTGTTGTGTGTTTTGGTGTGTATATTTGTTGTTTCTTTCACTTAAAGTGACTATTTACAAAGAATTGACACAAATTATGTACTGGATACTAGTGCATCAAAATGCAAATAGATTTAGTAGTCTTTCTCTGCAATTCTTATATATATATATCTGTCAATTTGCTATTAATTAGTCTTATACCTTAAGTATTAAAATATTTTAATTGTATAAATGAAATGAACTCACTGTTGTTACCGATACTTTCACTCTTAAAAGAGAATTCCCAGAAATACTTAGTGAATAAAACTTTATAATCGTGCACAATTAACTGGTTATTTCTAATTAAACATGCATTATGCAAGAGCAAAATCTGCTTATTACAAGTCTTTCTTTAGGCCTGAAATGTTATCTAAATTATCAATTAGACATTAATTAACTTATCCAGACCATAATAACCTCTCGAAGTTAAGGCTAGCCTTCGATGTTGGCTGGATTAGATTCCTATATGCCGCTAACGGCCATTGATAATTAAATCAGAAAAAGTGGATAATCGAGACTGCTGTTTATATTAATGATTTTAGTAATGATGACCAAGACTATGCAAAAATTTCACCCGCTTCTTTCTCGGCTGGGAGCCACGGTGGCTAGGTGGTTAAGACGCTGGCTCGCTAGCCTGGAGGTCGGGTGTTCGATCCCTGCATTGGCCGAGAAAGTTCATCTGGATTTTCTGACGTGGTTTCCCCTTGTCAGTGGTGCAGAACGGAGGGCCTGACAAGGACAGCTGTCTAGTCCTTCGGATGAGACGAAAAACCGAGGTCCCGTGTATACATTGGAATGCACGTAAAAGATCCCTTGGCAGTTGGAATTCGATATAAGAGTAGGCGTTAGTGCCGGTGCCCGGGCAAAATTTCCCTCATAGCACACTGTATGGCATATGCCCGTCTTCATTAGCCCAGTATAGGAGCAGAACAGTAGGACATTAAACCCCATTTCATTTCATTTCATTTCATTTTTTTCTCAGTTCATAGTGGATCAATTTGACAGAAATTTTCAGCAAATTATCTTTACACTATCTAGTTTTTAACTATTATAGCGAGAACTACCATCTCTTTATCTTATCTCCCATAATGTATCTTTAATATGCATTATGTATGAAATGAAATGAAATGGGGTTGACATCCTACTGTTCTGCTCCGAACTGGGCTAATGAAGACGGGCATATGCCATACAGTGTGATATGACGGAAATTTTGCCCGGACAACGGCACTACAGCCTACTCTTATATTATCAAAATCCACAGGTAGAGGGATCTTTTACATGGACGCCTTGTCAGGCTCTCTGTCCTGTATCACTGACAAGCGGGAACCACGCTGGAAAATCTGGATGAACTTTCTCGGCCAATGCAGGAATCGAACACCCGACCTCCAGGCTAGCGAGCCAGCATCTTACCCACTTAGCCCCTTACTAACACACTTAGCCCCCTGTTACCCCTATTATGTAAGAGCTAAATCGGCCTATTTCAGGTCTTTATTTTGGCTTCAAATGTTATATAAATTATTAATTAGACATTTATTCACATGACAATCCCCTAATCAACTCTCTAGACCATGGATAATCATGACTACATTTATAATTGTAACAATGGTAGCAATGAAAATCAAAACTTCTAACCGTATTAAAACGTCCAACATTCATAACATCGCTCAGAATATACTAATTTTACTGAATTTTCCATATATTCCCTTTTTTATTACCATTGTTTGTCCCCATCTGTCCGCCACACTTTTTGGGACACAATAAATCTCCTTCTAATTGAGCTAGAATGTTCAAACTTGGTGTAGGTGTTTATTAGGTCAATGTCGAGATGGAGTTCGAAGATGAGCATTTTCTGCTTAGGGTAAGCAGAGATAAGCAATTTGACTGGTTGATGCTTTGGGACACGATAACTTTAGTTCTAATTAAGTGAGAGTGATGAAACTTGGTGTATAGTTTCATTACCTCAATACATTGACTAAGTTCGATAATGAGCATTTTCTGCTCGGGGTAAGCAGAGCGATATGCAATTTGATTGGTTGAGACTTTGGAACACAATAACTCTCATTCTAATTGAGCTAGAATGTTAACATTTGGAATAGGTGTTTATTATGTGAATGCCTTGATGAGAATGGTGTATAGTTTTATCACATCAGTACCTTGACTAAGTTCGATAATGAACATTTTCTGCCCAGGGTAAGCAATTCGATTGGTCTAGACTTTGGGACACAACAACTCTCCTAATTGAGGTAGAATGTTCATTAGGTGAATGTCTTGACGGAGTTCAATGATTAACATTTCGAGCTAAAGCTAAGCAGAGCCAAGCAATTTCAATGGTCGATGCTTTGGGACAAGATAACATTTTTGTCCTTGCCACATACAAATTCCCAGATTCTAGATATTCAATGTATTGATTTATCTTTCTTTAAAATTTTCCTGAAGTGGTCTTTATCCTTATCACAGACGAGAAGGTTGTCTTTAACACAGAATACAGTTCTATGTGTGATCTATTCAAAACCATTTTATTTTACATCAAGTTATCATGAGTATGACAAAAACAAGGTTGACTACGTCTAGATTCCAGTGACAAATCAACTGTCATCAAGACGAGAACGCTAGGGGTGACTAGACCCTGTATGATGCTAGCACCACAGTGCAAAAATTTGTCTATTGCATGTAATGACTAATTACAGGTCAAATTGTATAGAAGATGGAACTTTTATGTTTAATTATTACTGATCAAATAATTTGCTATAAGAGTATGTAATTATAATACCTAGATAAATAATGCATAATGGAAAATTGTCTCAGAACGCCAACTGTTACATGCAGGCTTGTTTATAAAGGGGTCAACAAAACATTCCGCACAATTAATTACAATCTACATCAGAGCATTAGTAAATTACAATATTTTTCTGATAATTAATTACAATTTTTCTGATAATTAATTACAATTTTCTGATAATTAATTACAATTTTTCTGATAATTAATTACAATATTTTTCTGATAATTATTTAATGAATTCCAATAAGCATCTGATAATTAATTACAATATGCATCTGGTAATTACAATATATGCCTCTAATAATTAATTACAATGTACTTATGATACTTAATTAATTACATATGTATCTGATAATTAATTAATCACAATATACATATGATGTTTAATTAATTACAATATGCATCTGATAATTAATTACAACATGCATCTGATAATTAATTACAACATGCATCTGATAATTAATTACAACAAAACATGCTTCTGATAATTAATTAATTACAACATAACATGCTTCTGATAATTAATTATAATATGCAATTGATAATTAATTACAACTTTAAAAACTATGGTTGGTTCGGCACATTCTAAAGCAACAATCAGCACAATTTATTCCAACGTTCATCTGATAATAACAATTATAGTTAATTACAACATCGATTAATAACAATTACAATTTTTATCTGACAATGTACATGATAATGAAATTATGATATATGAAATTGACATGATTGGTTTTATCTAACATAAATAGTTAACATAACACTTTTGATTATATTTACATCATGATGTCAATATATATACCCCAATTTTTATAAATTATAAAGTTTGTTTAAAAGACTCTTAGAACTCCACTCCTAATCCTGTCCAACTATTTGAAATACAAAATAATCGTCAAGATATTGCCAACTATTTCCATGGAGAGAAAATCTAAACCAAAAGATGACTCTCCTAATAGCTCTACCGGTAATTGAAAAAAAAAAAAAAAAAAAAAATTTTATTTTAAATATCTGCTGCAACAAGCTAAACCTTACTGTAATTCTGAATCATTAACATTAGATTTTTTTAGGGCTTTATTAGTTATGTACAATGACTATTTATAGGTTACTACAAGCGACCTCTTACAATGTACAATTGTGCATCTCTATGTCATGTAATCAATTCAGATTATTTGAACTTGAGCATTCGCAGAAGTAGGTTTAACTTTCAATAGAGCAAATGTCTGACTGCATTGGTAACCCTACTATTTGGAACATTCCTGGACAGACAATTGAGACCCTGACATCTCCAAAACAATTCATTAAAAGCCTGTCCGAAAAGGTTGTCTCTTAGTTGGTTAGTTAAAAATGTTTTTCTCCAAGTTTGGCTAGTGCAGAATGTTTTTCTCTAAGTTCAGCTAGTGCAAAATGTTTTTCTCCAACTTGGCTTGTGCATAAATTATGATAATTAGGTTATTATGGATACAATATATCAAATTAGTAAAATTCATCTTCTTGTTTAAAAGAGTTAAAGCCTCTTCAATAAATTACAACCAATCGTGGAATATGATTCGAGATAATTTCAGATCAATTTCACCTTTGACCCAATGAAGTTTGAGACTGGATCAATAATTTAACTACCCCCAACACTTTGAGATAATTCTAATAATTTTCTTAAAGACTCTAAAACTTTTGTTTCTTTCCTCTGTTCATCTGTAGCTTGAGTCTGGAAAAATAATTAACAAAATATACAATATTCAAGTGAGAGAGATAGAGAGTGTTTAAGTCCACTCAACACAAACTAGGTAATTCTGAGACTAACATATGGTTCAATTTTATGTCAATAAGTCGCTTGGGTGTAGGGGTCTTTAGCTGTGGGAGGAAACCGAGGGACTCAGAGAAAACCCACGAGGTTAGATAGGTGACTCTACTCCTTGTCACACACAAACATGGAATCGAAACCATGCCATATGAAATTCAAGTGAAGGAAGTATTCTTTACTTTAAAGTCTATGATCTTCATAGAAGGGACCGTTAATCCAATGAAAACTACAATATTGTGAAAATTGAATCTCTAGAAGGAATATCAGTTCAAAGAATGATTCAATATTAATATTTGTGACTGTCGTTTGTTTGTCTGTTCAGAGTTGGTGGCTACACTAGGGCTGTCCACGAGGCAAAAATTTGGTGTATATGGGTAGCTTGAACTGGGGAGTGACATAGGTCTGGTGGCGTTGGACTACTACTTCCAGTTTTAGAGTTGTATTACTTTCAACCAGTGCAGCACCGGGTCATCAGAGTGAACACAAGCCAGTGTCACCTATGATTTTCATGTGCCTCTTTTTAATATGAGCTAGGACATAGTCTACCGTTTATATTTCCATTTAGTTTTTTTAAAATAAATTTTTCTTTGGATTAAGTCATGAAACATTAGATATTCTCCTGCAAATATCGATTAGCAACTTCAAATTAGCAATTCAAGTGGCCACACATTGAGAGTGCTATATGTTATCTTCTAAAATGATCGCTAAATTGTAAACTAATGCAGAAATGGAAATACTGCTGTGCAAAAGGATTTACTCAAGGTTTGTTTGTGCTGAATGTGCTTCACTCGGCATAAAATACTAGTTCAGTTAAGTGCAGAATTACTTGAAGCACTAAATTGGCCTTGTATCTGTTCGTTCTAGGGTTTATTTAGTACCATATTTCGAATCAATATCAAATATGTTTACACAGCATCATATACAAGGATAGAATACATGCCAGTACTAAAATGGCCTTATATATTCTCCCAGGTTCATATAGCATCGTATTTCTTGGATGTATATTTTACTGTAGTGTAGACGTTTGGTGCCGAAGCAATTCTAGGTTTGACTACATATTGTACAGTAGAGAGAGAGAGAGAGAAATGGGGTTTAACGTCCACTCGAAACAAACTAGGGAGAGAGAGAGAGAAATGGGGTTTAACGTCCACTCGACACAAACTAGGTCATTTCGGGACTAACATATGGTTTTTAATTTTATTTCAATAATTCGCGTAGGGGAACCCACAAGGTTGGACAGGCGACCCTACTCCTTGTCACGTACAACCGGGGATTCGAAACCACGCCAGTCGACTCAATGACAGACTTTATGATACAGCGCGCGCACGCTAACCATTCAGCCATCCAACCCCCCAAACAAACTAGGTCATTTCGGGATTAACATATGGTTTAATTTTATTTCAATAATTCGCTTGCGCGTAGGGGTCTTTAGCAGAGGGAAGAAACCGGAGGACCCGGAGAAAACCCATGAGGTTGGACAGGCGACCCTACTCCTTGTCACATACAACCGGGTATTCAAAACTACGCCAGTTGACTCAATGACAGGCTTTATGATACAGCGCACATGTGCTAACCATTCGACCATCCAACCCCCCTTGTACAGTAGAGCAAATGCTTATTGGCAAATCAATTTAAAAGATTATACCTTATATTTAACTGTTAATTGTTCTTCTGCCCATGATGCGTAACGAGCGTTGATCTGTTTTTCTTTGGCACCTTTACTATATGCGGTAGCTAGATTTGTTGCTGCCTGCAAATATAAAGTAACATAAACAGTGTTATCATTAAATAAAACATCATTTAATAACTGTGTTTTATAGGATAGATAATAAAACTTATTAAAAAAACCACCATTTTAAGCTTGAGTATTATTGTAGAATAGTTAATAATAACTTGCCAATAAAACAGACCACTTAAAGCTCAGGTATTTTTCTAGAAGAGTTAATAATAACTTAGCAATAAAACACACCATTTAAAGCCTGGGTCTTATTGTAGAATAGTTAATAATAACTTACAAATGTAACATCATTTAAATCCTGGGTATTATTATAAAATAGTTAATAATAACTTACAAATATAACATCATTTGAAGCGAGAGAGGGAGAAATGGGGTTTAACGTCCACTCGACACAAACTAGGTCATTTCAGGACTAACATATGGTTTAATTTTATTTCAATAGTTCGCATGCGCGTAGGGGTCTTTAACAGTGGGAGGAAACCGGAGGACCCGGAGAAAACCCACGAGGTTGGACAGGTGACCCTACTCTTTGTCACGTACAATCGGGATTCGAAACCACACCAATTGACTCAATGACAGACTTTATGATACAGCGCGCGCACGCTAACCATTCAGCCATCCAACCCCCCACCATTTGAAGCCTGGGTATTATTATAGAATAGTTAAAGATACATTATGGGAGATATTTATAGAGAGTTGGCCATTCTTGCTATAACAGTTCAAAAGTAGATGATGAAAGAAGAATATATTGAAAAATTCAGTCAAATTACTTTATTATCATCGTTGTAATATTTGCCTAGAAATGGTAGCGAAATGTTTGATTGACAGGCGTTAACTCCACCTACATATCTCGATTATCAAGTAAAGTTTTCAATGGCATACGGAAACGCTTTACAGCGGCCTCGCTAAGTACACTCTATCATTTAGCCTCGATCTAACTGACGTATTTTCATCAGGTTACCCCTTATCTGATTTAATCAATTAGTGAAATCCTATTTAAATCCGAGCTGTAGCCGAGCCATCCGTGGGTCTACAGAGTTGATTTTGGTCTTGTTGTTTAAATAAAGATCTAATTTATAATTTCTATAACATCTGAAGCCTTGCAATAATCAGATTTAGCTCTTGCATAATGCATGTTTAATAATAACTTGCCAATTAAACACCATTTAATGCTCGAGTATTATTGTAAAATAATTAAAAATACATTATGTAAGAGCTAAATCTGCCTATTGCAGGTCCTTATTTTGGCTTCAAATGTTATATCAACTATTATTTAGACATTCATTCACATGACAAGCCCATAATCAACTCTCTAGATCATCGGATGTTGGAGATGTACACAGATTAAAATATGGTTGCCATTTAATGATTTTTAAATATAAAATGGCAAATCGAGGCTAAGTCTCGAATTACAAGTACCGTTGTTACAATAATAAACAATCTATGCCACATCTTGTAAAAACTTAAAACATTAATAACTTCGCTCAGAATAAAGTAATTTGAATGAAACTTTTAATATATTAATTTTGCATTATCTTTTTTTGAACTATTATAGCAAGAATGGACAGTTCATTATCTAAATCTACATAATGCATCTTTAATAATAACTGAATAATAAAACACCATTTAAAACCTGGGTATTATTGTAGAATAGTTAATAATGACTTAACAATAAAACACCATTTAATGCTGGAGTATTATTGTAGAATAGTTACTAACCACTTAACAATAAAACACCATTTAATGCTCGAGTATTATTTGTAGAATAGTTACTAACCACTTAACAATAAAACACCATTTAATGCTTGAGTATTATTGTAGAATAGTCACTAATGACTTACCAATAAAACGCCATTTAATGCTCAAGTATTATTGTAGAATAGTTAATAATGACTTACCAATAAAACACCATTTAATGCTCGAGTATTATTGGGATTTAATTTAACAGCTTGAGCAAAATAACTTCTGGCTAATTCCATATTTTCTGCTCCACCCATTGTATATCGAATCTATAATAAACAAATATCAGGAAATCTAAAACATACACATAAATTAACAGAGACAACGGCTTGTCAGACCCCTTGATACATATTAGCTAATTTAACTGTGGTCCCCTGCCAGTGAATAGGGCCTGCATCATAGGAAGCAGATTACAGTGAATGCAACATACAAATGTTTACCAATCATATTGTAGTAGGGTAATTAAACTTATGAAGATTTATTCATAGTTTATAGTATCGCATATCAAATTGCAGTAGGCTAATTAAATAATCAAAGAATCGACTAAAGGAATTCAAGCTGGCCAAATACCTTTGAGCAACTCTGAATTTCAATAGGGTTCTTCCTCCGTCCTGTGCACCACTGACAACAAACTTTTTTGACCAACACTGTGATCGAATTCAGGATCTCCTGGTATGTGAGCCAGGTCCTACCTCCCTCAGCCAGTGTGGCAATCAATATCACAGTAATAATACATTTTTAATATGGCATCACTGGCTCAATTGTCATAATAGTAAAATGCTGGTGTCTCCGGTTCCTTGGCCATTGTGCCCTCTCCCAGTACAATAAACATTACAGTAATATATTATGTTTAAATATGGTACCTCTGCATATTTTTGATGGAAGAGATGATTATGTGGATTAGACATTATGACTTCCTCCATACAGAAAGCTGCATTACTGTAGTCAAATTCACATAAATATAAATCACATAATTCCATCCACGACTCATAATCTGTCATAAATCTGCAAAAACAAATTGTTGTAAATTCTCACTGTAAATAATATTCATCTTTACATATTTTAAGTAAAATAATATTAATAATAATTAAATTCATTTCATCAGGCATCAAAAAATCAACTTTACTTGGTGAAACTGATACACTCACTATACATACATTAAAACCCATCACAGTTAAATCTCCAGTGATTTTAACATGAATATTCATGACTTTTGTATATATGAATAATAATGAGTTACATATGTGTACAGCAGGAGGTCAATCTGATTAAAATACAGATCTATATTTCGTTTCGTTTTTTTATGCTTTCGATGGCCTACACTACATGAAGATCTGACCGATTGTTCTGGAAGGTCCCGTCAGGGGTTGTTTGAGCGGCTTTTGACCCTATGACGTCAGACGGTGCTTAATCAATCAGCGTTGACATTTCTTGTGATTTACCCACAGTTCCGAGCTTCGCACGCCAAGAACTTGCCGTAAAGTTATGACTAAATACAGTGTGAATATTCAACGTGTGAGCCAGCATCTTACTCACTGATCCCCTTGTGGCTCACAAGTAAATATTGTAAGAGTAAAATAAAACATCTGCTTACTTTCTTAAATATTCGTTCAATTTCTGTATCGCTTCGGCCATTTTACCCTGTGCTTTTAAAATGGCCACTTGGCGTTTCCTAGCAATCTGAAAATAATAAATTATGTGTTCTATTATAATTTCCTATGGGAGTATTAAACATAGCATTGCCAGCCAATAAATATACACCCACCAGCTGTTTTTACATTTTCAGTGTCCGGTGCAAAAAGTGATGCAGGATTCCAACTTTTAATCTGGTTCTAGCTTAAACGTACATTATGCAAGAGCTTAATCTGCCAATTGCAGTTCTTTCTTTAGGCCTGAAATGTTATCTAAATTATTAAGACATTAATTAACTTATCCAGACCATAATCAAATCTCGATGGCATCGCTAGCCTGTGATATTTACTCGATTAGAACCTGATCTGCTGCTCAATGCTCATTGATGATTTAAATCAAAAAATAATAATCGAGACTATGTTTTTTATCGTACCGACTTCGACTTCAGTAATGATGATCAATGCTAGGCCCAAAATTCAATCGTTAAATTCTCGGTTCAGAGTGGGATCAATTCGACTGAATTTTCTTTAGCAAATTCCCTTTACATTATCTAGTTTTTAACTATTATAGCCAGAACTGCCAGCTCTCTATCTAATTTCCCATAATCTATCTTTAATACTAGCCTAAAAAATCTCAAAACCAATCTCAAAAACTCTGACTCATATTACTAAACTCTGACTCATATTACTTGTGTTTAAAGAATTGTAAGAAGCACAAACTGACTGATAGACTCACACTTTTTGATTAAATTGTTAAATTGTCGAATAAATAAATGAATTACTTACCATGTTAGTATTATCTTTTTCTATTATTTCTGTATATAGTTTATCAGCTTCATTATATCTACAAATAAAATAAAGACGTTGATTTCATTAACATAGGTATAAAAGGGTCTAGTCATTTGGATAAGATCATAAACCATTGCCAAAAACCATAGCACCCATTTAGCATGAAGACAGGTCGAAACTCCACAAAACAAATCAATATTATAAAATCAAATGGCATCAACAAATTTAATTTTTGACCAAATAAGAGAAATGAATGGGGTTTAACATCCTACCGTTCTGCCTCTACTGGACTAATAAAGACAGGCATTTTGCTGTCCATGGTTCTTTTATACGTAATCGCCAATGTGTACACAGGAGTTCATTTCTTCATTCAATCCGAACATCTTTATGTTGTTCCTTGCCAGGCCCTCTGTAGTGAACCACGGGCGAGGGGAAACCACATTGTAAAATCCTGATGAACTCTCTCGGCCAACACTGGGATCGAACACAGGTCGACAAAACAGAGAGAGAGAGAGAAATGGGGTTTAACGTCCACTCGACACAAACTAGGTCATTTCGGGACTAGCATGGTTTAATTTTATTTCAATAATTCGCTTGCGCGTAGGGGTCTGTAGCAGTGGGAGGAAACTGGAGGACCCGGAGAAAACCCACAAGGTTGGACAGGCGACCCTACTTCTTGTCATGTCGACTCAATGGCAGACTTTATGATACAGCGCGCACACGCTAACCATTCAGCCATCCAACCCCCCCTCAACAAAACAAATCAACATTATAAAATCAAATGAAATCAACAATTTTATATATGGACCTAATGAAAGGTATCCAAGTCTTTGTTACAAGTGTAACAGATCGTTTTAAATAAACAACGTACCTGCCATCAGCTTCATAGAAAAGACCTTCTAATCTTTTTACTCGCATACTATCTGGAAATTTATACTGTAATGCTTCTATACATTCCTGTAATATACAGAGCATATTAGAGCTCAATTAAAGCACTATAGACATCTGCACATTCATTTGGGGGGTCGCTTCTACTTCCACTGATGGTGATATATCATCACAGACATATCAGAAGAGCCAGTCTTGTTTGAGAGGCTAGTCCATCTTTGGGTGAAATGCGTGGGAATGGGAGGGTGCAAAAGCAAATAATTCATAGCGCCACTGTGACTTTAGAGATATAGCATCTAATGGGACCTTTCAGAAGTATTAACCGACTCTCTTCAGAGCAGGAACCATTCTACATTATACTCTAGAGCTAGAGCTCCACTATAATGCTTGTTTACAGAAAACATATCTACCGGTAGATCAGAGCTCCACTGTCACAAACTAGCTGAACACATTTGCAACTTGAACAAAATATTAAAAACAAATGGTATGTTATGCAAAAATTTCTAAAAATGTAATTTTACAGCCACAGAATATCATTTAAATTTTACATCTTGTTAATATACGGAAAAACTAGAACTGTCAACAAGTTAATTTTATCGGTTCCATTCCCACATTTACTTAAAATAAAAATTGAAATTTTACAGAAATGGAAAATCTTTCAATTAGTATTTTGAAGCAATCCGTAGGGTGACTTTTATAATATCATATACAAATTTGATTATGGAAGCTACTAACCTCTGCTAAATCCAGTCTCCTACAGTCTAAAGCAGCTATACAAACTTGTTCATACACCATCCATACTATCAAAAAATAAAAACATTATTAAGTTTAGAGAAAGATGGGTTTTAATGTCTACTTAACACAAGCTAGGTTATTTTGGTCAATGTATATGGTACATGTACAGATTTATCTGAGACAGATCTGCCAATTCATTGCTGACATATTTAAAGATTTTTAACAAGTCATGTATTATGATGTATATTATAGGGTTTTTCAAAGAGTTTGGTAAAAACACATAATGCAAAATGCTTTCTTCTAGGTTGGCCAGTACATGGATCTTCAACAATTGTTTTAGCATATTTTGGTTGAATACCCGACAACTCATCCCAAAGACAACTCATCCCAAGACAACTCATCCCAAGATATTAGCTATACTGAAACTCATACATAAAGATAAGGATATAATGTCATATTCTGAGGAATTTCTATCAGACAATGATATGGAAACAATCAGCACGACCGAGGCCAACATTTTCAGTCGCATCTATGGTTCAAAGAAGGAATTAAACCTTGTACGCTATGATCAGCAACCATTGTTAAAAATTTGAACATTATCCCAATTTTCTATATATCTATTTCTAAGTGTTCTTATACATAAAAACTATAAAATTACTGTATTTTGCTTGACAGTATGGTTCTTTTAAATCCTAATCTAATAGCATCTAAATTGACTACTGGAAGAGATAATGGGTCTTTAACTTTATACTAACATTCATCAGCTAGTTTATGTGAATGATGTATTAAAAATCCTTCCCATAATTTAACCACCATATCACCATCTCGAACTTGTTCATCTCTCATTTTCTTTAAGATGGTTCTCGCTTCTACAACAAGAAATCAAAACTATAATATATTGAAACATACTGGTTATAAATTCCACTAAACTTCATGAGACATGAATGATGTGAAGTGAAAATCTAGGACCCTTTAGCAATTGGGAGCCACAATGGCTCCGTGAGTAAGGTGCTGGCTCATTAACCAGGAGATCTTGATTTCGCTCTTATTATTAATCGAGAATGATCTTTATCGGGAATGTAGGAGGTAGGGCCTGGCAAGGCAATGTGACTACCCTGTACATGTATACTATATAACTATATAATGAAATGAAATGGAGTTTAACGTCCTACTTGGCTACTATAACTTTATAACATCTGCATAGTGCATATGTATGTTGTGGTGAAATGTGTGTCATTCACATTGTTTACATTGATAGGGTGACCCACCATAAATAAATATCTTCATATATCTCCATATATCTCGACAATTACGCCACAATATTTATATATATGCCAAGCCTCAAATCAGTTTCACACAATTATAGTCACTAAATAAACGATCATGTTGTACTTAATAAGCTATGACCATTAATCATCTATAAATAATAGACTGAAAACTGGTTCCAAGTGTCGTCCATAACATCCAGACACTTTTGAGTAAAAGATAGGTTACGTGCCCTTGTTTTGAAATTAGTCTCGCTTAACCAGTCTATCGACCATTCTACGTCTGATTGACAGGTCGGGATAATCAAGACTACTTTTTTACGAAACATAACAGAAAGCTAGAACAAGAAATTGAATTTAGAAATAAGCACGTTAGGTAGCTCAACAATCGTTTTACGAACCTTGTAAAAGTAAAATGAAACTACTGCTAGTATCATGTTCCTGTCTAACCCGAGTGATTCAGAGATATTATTTGTACTAAACCAAAAGACGCCGCTCTTAACGGTACAGTTAATGATAAAGCGATTTAAAAAATGAAACGAACGTAATTTCTAAATCTGCTGTAATAACCAAGCAACTTAATTTCACTGCTATTCAAAACCGTCAACAATAAATTATTTACGGCTGTAATAGTTAATAGATTTGTAGAGAATTGCACGTGCCATGGCTATTTATAGTATCATACTATCAGAAAGTTGGTCTCGGCACGGCGAATGTGTACTCTTCAGTGGTAGTCTCGAACTATCAGCGGTGGACATTATTTCTGTAGAGTACATGGGCCACCCTAACATTGAACATATGTCATATGCCACTTGGTTTAGATTGTTTATGTTGTGGGGGGGGGGGGAGGTGCAGTGGGTCCAATATCAAAAAGGGACGCACTATATTATTCAAATCACATCGTTAAAAACCTCGAATACGGAATGGTTCGATATGCTTTGACTTGGGACTCACATCAATTGGGACTCGCGTCATTTGGGACTAAAAAAAATATGACCACGACATTTGGGACTCGGGTATATGACGTTTGGGACTTTGGTATATGTCGTTTGGGACTCAGGTATACGACATTTGGGACTCAGGATAATTTATTAGAAATAGGCCAATTCAAAACACGAAAGAAAATATTTATTAACATGAAACATGTGGTTAGTAAAAGGCTCAACCAAACGATAAAACATTAGTTGCACTTACGGTTCTTTGATAATCATCGTTTCTCATAAAAGTTATATATTTAAAACGAATAATATGCTGATGAATTTTTTTGAAAATGACCTACACAAAAAACAAAATAAATATTTACACGACATGCAATCTTTTTTACAAGCCCCTAGAAATTTTTAACGATAATCCGTGAGCTGCACGTTGACATGCTTGTCGTAGATGGCAATACCAATCGATAAATTAGTGCGTACAAGGCAAAGTTTTTTTGTGGAAAATATAAGAAATGGCAACGATCAAAGCGGGATAATTAAAGCTGATTAACTGATAATCCCGATGTTATTGCAGTATATCGAGAATGGCGGCCATGTGTTGATTGCAGTTATACCGTTTCACGAAAAAACATTAGCAGTGGTCGGTCAATCAAGCTCGTTTACTATTTGATAAAAGAAAAAGAACGAAGTACTACTAAATATACACAAATTTTCAACAATATATTATTGTCAAGTTTTATACTCGCAGATAATTACTGTCGTTTATATTGAGTCCCAAATGTCGTTTGTGTTGAGTCCCAAACGTCGTCAACTGAGTCCCAAATGTCGTTTATGTTGAGTCCCAAATGACGTGAGTCCCAAATGACGTGATACCGCTTTGATAAGGTCGTGATTTCACATAATTTGACACACGTGGTGTATATCTCTCTCAATATCTTAGATTTATAAGATTTGTAATGGACTTGTCAAATAAAACAGATATTTCTACATATGCAGGAATCGAGTTTGATTTAATTGTATATCTTATTTAAAGGGAAAACATGATTTTATTATCAATTTTACCGTCAAAAGTAATGTGGGTAGCCATCTTGAACCGGAAGTCTCGTTTTTAACGAGAATCTCGGCAGATCCCAAAGCGCCTGCGCATCCGAATCGTTGTCATGGAATCGTAAACAATTTTGTGTCGAGAGAAATAAAAGTGTGTAGACAAAAGTGGAGTTCATCATTCTTCCAACTAAACATCCGTCAAAATGATTCCACCGAACGCTTCTCTAGTTAAATATGACAACCCCGTCCTTGTCAGCAGAAATACAGATAAGAAAACACCACGGGTAAGTAACTTCAAGTTTCTAGAACAGGCTACGTTACACAATTTATTTACAAAACCAATCTCTTTCTCTGGCTCTCCTTCCTTGGTCGGCTCATTTTTTTCATGGGTTGTTTTTCACATTAAATGTTAATCACGGACATATTCGGAAAGTTGGATTTATACGTTATAATTACGATATATATTTCTATGTCAATTATGGAAGGAAGATCTGTCTGCCGAATGGCAGGGTATGCTGATGCAAAGCCATTTTTTTTAACTTATAGTATAGAAACTACCAAATAGGCCTAGTCCAATGAGTACCAAGATATTTTTCGTTTCTCCACAAAATGTTAATAATTCCATATTACACATTATGAATTCCGATTTTTTCCGTTTAATGAGATGAAACTTTCAGTTTTCGCCCTTCCCGTTTCATCTTCGTGAAATTCTGAAGGAAACTGTGTGGAGATGTATTTTTGTTGTTTACTCCATTTTGACAGTCCTTTTTTTATGTGGGTCAAAAATTGAATTCAGGTAGATCTGGTAGTGGTAGTGATAAGTAGCTAGTAAAGAAGGGAAGTGCAGGTGCTTTTTAGGGGATCAATAAAACTTACAAAATAAATCTGGACCAATGTTCAGTTCATGTTACTTACATCTTAGAAGAGTGTGAATACAGTTGATCAATTAGTACTCGCCTCCTTTCTTTGAAAAACATCATGCTAAATATTAATATTTTGACCAAAGTTTGGGTTTATGGCTGTTAGTGTTTAATGACCACATCTCCTTTTATTATGTTGGATACACTACTTTGTAGTGTTATCAATTACAGTATTTATACTTCACTATATATATATATATATATATAGTACAATCAGTAGAATTTGAAACCAAGGGAAAATATTGATTTCCTGCAAAATAGGTGAGTCAAGAGTATAAGATAAATAGCATTTAAATTCTTTGTGAACGTTATCAGAAAATGTCTCTTTAAATTTAAACCCTGTATTAATTGTTATTACAGGCAAGAGCTTTAAAAGTTTCTCCGACATCACCACAAGGTACTGGTCCTGTACCCAATCCCCCAGCTAAAAACAAGCCATCTGGTTTAGATGCTAAAGCTGCTCAACAGACAGATGAAATTCTTAATTCTATTCTCCCACCACGGTAAGATATATTTGAGTTTGAGTCTAATGTGAAATGTTTACTTCGACACACAAAATAGACAAATCTGAAAGATATTTGCATTTGGTTTAATATCTACTTTTTGTGGAAATATTTGGTGCATTATCATTGCCTAATCTAAAGGATCTGACATTTCTGCCAATTTTTATATTTGAATGTAAGCTTAATATATCTTTATTTTAATTGGACGATTTCATAAGAAGTTATTAATTTCTATATTTATTAGTGAATGGACAGAGAACGGTCAGTTATGGGTCCAACAAGTTTCCAGTACACCAGCTACCAGATTAGATGTGGTCAATCTACAGGAGGAATTGGACCGTAGGTTACAACAGAGACAAGCTAGAGAAACCGGTATCTGTCCTGTCAGACGAGAACTCTACTCCCAGTGCTTTGGTAAATATATCTTTAAAAGAAATTTATATTAAATTAAAGAGATATTCCTTCTTAAATAATTAGCTCATCTGTTCAAACAACAATGCTTATTTTTAATGCTTGAGGGAAAAGAAAAGAAAAAAAAACTCAAATTTTGTAAGAGCAACCAAGATAAATTATTCAGTTTTATATGTAAATATTTAAATGGTCAGGAAAAATTAAACTGAGAAAGAAAAAAATCTTAGAGGCTCAAATTTTGTCAAAAATAAATTACATATTTTTGTATGAAAATATTTTTTGTAATATTCGAAAAAAGTATAATTATAGGACTCAAATTTTATAATAAGAACCTGCAAAAAATTACTAAATGGAAATTGTCAACCACTGATTGTCCTATAAAACCTACAAAAATCAAATGGTGTAGCTCATCCTTTAAATCTACAAAAATCAAATGGTGTAGCTCATCCTTTAAAATGTTACTTTATTTTTTGTAGATGAGTTAATTCGTCAGGTGACTATAAACTGTGCAGAGAGAGGTTTGTTGTTGTTACGTGTTCGAGATGAGATCCGTATGACAATAGCTGCCTATCAAACACTGTACGAATCTAGCGTAGCTTTCGGTATGAGAAAAGCGTTACAAGCAGAACAAGGCAAATCAGATATGGAAAAACGGGTAATTATACATTTATATAATAGAAATATTATAATTGGATGGCCGAATGGTAATGTGTGCACATTGCATCATGAGGTCTGTCATTGAGTCAAGTCGCATGGTTTCGATTCCATGCTTGTACATGACAAGGAGTGGGGTCATCTGTCAAACCTCATGGGTTTTTCTCTCGGTCCTTCGAATTCGGTTCCCCCCCACTACTAAAAGACCCCTACGTGCAAGTGGATTATTGAAATAAAAATTGAACCATATGTTAGGGCTGAAATAGCCTATTTTGTGTTGAGTGGATGTTAAACCCCATTTCTCCCTTTCTCTCAAATGACAATCAGCGTGACTTTAAACGGAGGAAAATCAACTCAGTAAAATGCATTTTAAACTCCAGCATTTCACCCATGTCCACAATTTCAATATTAACATATCACAAAAAAATGGAAAAAAAAACCCATCATAATTTAATTTATATTTTCTAATCATAGATAAAAGATTTAGAAGATGAGAAACGTAAACTAGAGAAAGATGTGAATGAATTAAAGGCTAAATGTGATCAAATTGAAAACCGAGCTAAAGAACAGCGACAGGTGGAGGAGAAAAAACACACAGAAGAAATCCAATTCTTGAAACGTACAAATCAACAACTTAAGGTAGGGTATATTAATGACAATCATATTCTTGGCCATCAAGTACCAGAGTTTTCTTTGGGTCCTCTGGTTTCCACCCACTGCTAAAGACACCAAAGAGCAAGCCTATTGAATCTGATTAGTTGAATAATCAAAAATGATAATCAACGATTTACCAAATAAGTCGAAAAGCATCCTGGAATTTAGTTTACTATTTTGTCCAGGCTTATTTTGTATTCTCATTATTATAATTTGAGTTCTAATTAGATTAATGAGTCCTGACTTGTATTATGACGAAAATGCTCACATGTTATTTTTAACATACAAACACACAAACAAATGAGTGATTTAAATTACTGGATGAATTGTAGTTATGAGATGGGAACCAAAATGCAAAATTGAATATATATACAATGTCAGTACCATTGTGTTGTGTGAATGTTAACCCAATTTCTGTGCCCCCCCTCCCCTCACTACTTCTACCACTGAAAATCACCAATTAAACCATTTTTATTCTTTTGTATATTTCAGACCCAGTTAGAAGGAATCATTGCCCCCAAGAAGTAAAAAATGAACATTTGTATAAATATGTTATTGTATATCACAACATTACTCCGCGTGGTATTAAGTCTACATGTGCAGTAGACACAATCTTCATTATTTATTTTCTGGGACAGTGGTTTAATTCGTAAACATTCAGAAGTTGTTGATAAAACTATTCATAGCATTATATTTATTTAGAATTTTAAACAGCCAAATAGTTTTCGCATAAATCCATTCGTAATTATGAAAAGTTGTAAAATTACTGATGACCTAAAACTATTCATAGCATTATATTTGTAAGATAGCTTATTTTAGTTTTCGTATAATAGCATTAAACATCAACATATAGCAGCATTATTATTTTTAAAACATTTTTATGAACTATGAAATAGAAAGTGTTACATCTTTGTCTTAACCTTGGTAGGGATTGGACTATAATTATTGTAGTACTTGATGATCAAGACTAACTTGAGTTTTAAATTAAAATTCATCCAGTAGTATATCCGGTGTGGGACCAATAGCCCACATTAGCTGACAAATTGGTCAAAAATCTCAATACAAGAATAGCTCTGTCCTTACCAAGGGGGGCAGATGTAGAATTAGACCGAATAAAAGGTCGAGATGTAGAATACAGTACCCTGATATATTGGAGATTGTAAATAGCCTGGAGACAGATTTTAATCATACATATGTAATTTTAAATAATCAACCCAATATATAGGAATTTAATTTAAAACCGGACACTTTATACATTTTTTAAACCCAGTCATCTTATGATCAACTGGTAGCTTATTGGTGGGGAGAAGTTATTGGGGAGCAGTTATTACAATGAGTAGGGAGAAGTTATTAGCGGGCACTTATTATGTAGCCTCTAGAATACATTTATGTTATACTTTGTTCTTTAAATTTAATACAGAATTGTACATTTAATACCAGGTTGGAATAATATTATTATTGTATCATATTTAATAAATTATTTATCCTATAAAACATTTATTATTGAATTTATTTTTATATAAATGTTAGTCTATGGCTATATGCTGTGTCATATTCATATTGTAACTAGAATTAATTCACTTTGAAATGAATTGAAAGGCAGTTAAGTATAGGCAGATAGGCCACAGTTCTAGCTAATTTCTTTTTGATAAGTGAACTATATTTCTTTTTCTAATTTTGGAGAGAAAAAGTGTCAAGTCTGGACGAACATGCGACTTTATTTCATTACCGGTAATTCATTTTGGTTTGGTATGAAATCGTTTGAATTCGATGAAGAGAAGGCAGAAATTCCACTGTCTAGCCAAAAGATTTTCCTCTTTGTTAGCTTGATGTGCAGAAACGTAGGATTTAAAACCCTATTTCATTCTATGTTCGCTGCAGCAACTCATTGAATGAGATTTAAAGTATGACCAGGTATTTCAGATTAAACACACCTGCGATCTTACTCACAAAAACTGAAACATATTAACAAATCGGTCCATTTATTGGCCAAGTGCTAAGTTTTTAATCCCCAACATATGAAATGGTGGCATCCTTAAAATAGTTCAGTCTAAGTTTCCATGAATTAGACTCAACAACTGGCTGGGGTGGGTGGAAACTCCCAAAGTTTTTCTGGGAATATATTGATCAATCAGATGTAGGCATTCATGTGACCATTACAAGAATAACTTGTAAATCAAACTTTTGGTTGTGTACTCCTTCCTGCCATGGTTAGGGTTGGGCTAGATAGATGAATTTGATGAATTTTCTGCATGCAAATGCCCTCTCAAAGACTATTTCAATTGAATGACAGTTTTATCATGGATTTCAGAATCTGAATACATCAAATATAATTCAGAGAGAGAAATGGGTTTTAATGACCACTCAACACCAACTGTCATTTTTGGACTAACAAAGTACAATTTATGTCAATAATTCACTTGCAGGTACAGTTGGACAACCAACCGTATTCCTTCACTCAATGGGGGGTGGATGGCTGAATGGTTAGCATGTTCGCGCTGTATCATAAAGTCTGTCATTGAGTCAACTGGCGTGGTTTCGATTCCCCGGTTGTACGTATCAAGGAGTAGGTTCGCCTGTCCAACTTGTGGGTTTTCTCCGGGTCCTCCAGTTTCCTCCCACTGCTAAAGAACCCTACGTGCAAGCGAATTATTGAAATAAAATAAAACCATATGTTAGTCCCGAAATGACCTAGTTTGTGTCGAGTGGACCGTTAAACCCCATTTCTCTCTCCCTTCACTCAATGATAGACCTTACAGTCTAAAGTGTATGAGTTACACCACTCAACCCCCTTACAATTCACATAAACTCAGGGCTTAAAGGTCACTAGCAAGCCTTGTGGTATAAATACAACAAACAGATTATCACAAACAAATAATTTATTTGGTAAAACAAATCTCATTGTTATGTATAAAATACCATTTTTCTATCAAAAACCAAAAATAAATATCATTTTTTTAAATATCTTAACAAGCCAACAGTGAGTCGAGGCTGATATTCTCTGCATCAATCTCGAAGTTAATATACATGTACATGTATGACACTAATTACATGAACATTTATCTTATTATGAAGCATCCAGTTATCAAATTGCTTATCACCACTGAGCTTAATTAGAAACTGCTCATCATTGATTGTCAAGACATTCACCCTTATGATCATCTACACCACATTTGAACATTCTATATTTCAATTAGAAGTAGAGTTTTTGTGTTCTACAAGGTGTGACAAGGACAGACGAACTAGCTTAAATAGCTCCCCCCCCCCCTGTTCTCTACTAAAGTTGGGGGACAATAATATACAAGTTATAAGATGAAATTAAATCATAGATCTATTTTATTGTATTAAGGAAATCTCCTCTAGTTGAAGGAGTGGGGTTGGGCGGCCAAATGGTGCGCATTTCCAAATTATGTCTGTCATTGAGTCAAGTGGTGTGGTTTCGATTCCCCGCTTGTACACGACCATGAGTAGTGTTAACCATTCCGCCACCCAAACCCCCTATATCAAAAAACAAAATTTAGTTAATTGGTCATCATAACAGTATTTATGTTCTATGTATATCCAGTTAAATTACTAAATGCAATTGAAACAATTGAAACAATCTTAGCAAGAAAATATTCATAGGCAGTGCTTAGATGGGTTTCATTTAATAAAGATAGGTTGCCAGGCAACAAAAAACATACGCCCACAGCAGCTAAATCGTCCGGGCAGTCAACAAGAGTTGTCGCATATTTTTACTTTTTTCGGTAATGAAACATTTATAATACACTAAAATCTGATTAAGAGCAACAACTCAGAAAATCATTAGAATTTGTTTGGTTTTTATAAAGTTCTGCCCCATGCTAACGTTTTGTATACAAAACTTTTAATACTGTATCATGAATTTAGCTGTTCCAAGTCATAAAAATTCATTGAAAATCAATATACTTGTTCGTCTCAAGATCTTAAACTCTGTGTATCAATCTGCAGTCAATCGGATATTAACTTTGGCCTCTAGAGCGTCCACAAGATTTTTCAAAGGGATCAAGGGCCATAACTTTGGCAGTAATTATCAGAAATCTTTGAAAATCAATAGGATTCTTAGCCTCGTGACCTCAAACACTGTGTATAAATTTAAAGTCAATCAGATATTAACTTTAGCCTTTAGAGCATCCACAAGGTTTTTTGAAGTGATCAAGGGCCATAACTCTGGCAGTAATTATCGAAAATCACTGAAAATGAATAGACTTCTTCGTCTCATGACCTTAAACACTGTGTATAAATTTAAAGTCAATCGGATATTAATTTTCGCCTCTAGAGCGTCCACAAGATTTTTTGAAGTGGTCAAGGGCCATAACTCTGGCAGTAATTATCGGAAATCGCTGAAAATCAATAGGCTTCTTCGTCTCATGACCTTAAACACTGTGTATAAATTTAAAGTCAATCGGATATTAACTTTGGCCTCTAGAGCGTCCACAAGATTCTTTGAAGTGATCAAGGGCCATAACTATGGCAGTAATTATCGGAAATAGCTGAAAATCAATAGGATTCTTCGTCTCATGACCTTAAACACTGTGTATAAATTTAAAGTCAATCGGATATTAACTTTGGCCTCTAGAAGGTCCACAAGATTCTTTGAAGTGATCAAGGGCCATAACTCTGGCAGTAATTATCGGAAATCGCTGAATATCAATAGGCTTCTTCGTCTCATGACTTTAAACACTGTGTATAAATTTAAAGTCAATCGGATATTAACTTTGGCCTCTAGAGCGTCCACAAGATTTTTTGAAGTGATCAAGGGCCATAACTCTGGCAGTAATTATCGGAAACCTCTGAAAATCGATAGGCTTCTACGTCTCATGACCTTAAACACTGTGTACAAATTTAAAGTCAATCGGATATTAACTTTGGCCTCTAGAGCGTCCTCAAGATTTTTTGACGTGGTCAAGGGCCATAACTCTGGCAGTAATTATCGGAAATGGCTGAAAATCAATAGGCTTCTTCGTCTCATGACCTTAGACACTGTGTATAAATTTAAAGTCAATCGGATATTAACTTTGGCCTCTAGAGCGTCCACAAGATTTTTTGAAGTGATCAAGGGCCATAACTCTGGCAGTAATTATTGGAAATCGCTGAAAATCAATAGGCTTCTTCGTCTCATGGCCTTAAACACTGTATATAAATTTAAAGTCAATCGGATATTAACTTTAGCCTCTAGAGCGTCCACAAGCAATTGTGGACGCTGGACCGACGGACGGGGGCGACAACAATATACGACCACATTTCAATGTGGGCGTATAAAAATCAAAGTCATGATTGTATCTCAACATTGGCTTTATCTATTCTTTTTACAAATATATATTTTAATGCAAAAAAAATCAAATTCAATAAAACTGACTCATTTAAAATAAAGGAAATCTTGTTCACTTAATTTGAATTGTATTTGACTGTGGTACATCGTCAGAAGCTGTCGGACTCAACTTGCCAACTATGATATGGGGATAGAGCATTTATGTACATCACATGTTTAAATCATCGTTAAAAACATTTTTATTTAAAGAGAATTACCATCAATTTTTAAATGTTTAGCAACATCCGTAATAATTCACTTCAACATCTACACACAAATATGTAAAGCACGTTAAGATATTACTTGTATATTGTAATGCGTTCTATAAGAATAAATTATTATTATTATTATATCCCGGTAGATACACTTTTAAATTGATTGATTGATCAGATTCAAGGAAATTTCATATTCGCACAATACAATTATCACACAGCCTACACTGCAAATTACACATACACCTTATATTCTGAATAAATGCATCTTGTAAAACCTTTAAATATCCTATAACAAGTATAATACATAAACATCAAAATATTCAACAAAGATAGGTTTAAAAATATTGATCTTATGACATAGGCTGGAATTAATGAAGCCAACTGTCACAGACAGTGTCAAACTAGATCAAGGATTTTTAAGGTACAATTCCCCCTGGATACTAGTCAGTTTGTCAGGTACAGTTCCCCCCTGGATACTAGTCATTTGACAGGTACAATCTTCACATGGATATTAGTCATTTGGCACGTACAATTCCCCCTGGAAAATATATATTTATCAGATGCGATCTTACTACCTGTCATTTTTCTACCCCGAAGTTTTCCTCTTTCTGTGTTTTAAATATCTTAAATGCCTGTAATGAAAACTTATTTTCATTTCCATTCCATAGAAAAATTAGAAAATTGTTCAAAACACAGAAATGCGATAAATTTCAAGTTTTTAGACATCACAGACAAGATTTGATAGCTTGTGCGACCTTTGAACCCGATTTTCGACCCAGTGCTTGTGATATAAACTGTCCAGCTTCTATTAGTTTCTGTACATCTACACCCTAAAACAGAAACACAAAACAATTTATTTCATCTGTCCTATTTATTTGTCTAAAGTAGTTTGAAGTAAAGATAAAATTTTAATTAGATTCCGAAAATCTAGGGATGTAAGACATTCAGTTTGCTATGAGGGCCATTTTGCCTGGTGTGCAGCGTTTCTGTCATTTTTTTCATTGAATTCCTACTGTGCACACCAATGAGAGTACACAGAGAGAAATGGGGTTTAAAGTCCACTAGACACAAACTAGGTCATTTTGTTACTAACATATGGTTCAATTTTATTTCAGTTATTTGCTTAGGCGTAGGGGTCTTTAGCAATGGGAAGAAACTGGAAGACCAGGAGAACCACCACGAGGTTGGACAGGTGACTCTACTCCTTGTCATGAACAAGCAGGGAATCAAAACCACACCACCTGACTCAATGACGGACATTTTAATGTAACAAGCACACGATAACCATTTGATACTTACTGAGCCACTTTGGCTACTAAATTTCTAGACCTGTATACTTACCGTTTTAATACCTAAACCATTTAATAAATATACCACATCTTCTGTTGATACATTTCCACTTGCACCCTTCGCATACGGACATCCTCCTAATCCAGATACAGAACTATCAACTACAGATACACCCATCTACAACAGATGATAGATAAGATACAGACTATCAACTAAAGATACAACCATCTATAATAGATGATACATAAGATACAGAGCTATACACTAGTGACTAGAGATACACCCATCTACAACAGATGATAGATAAGATACAGAACTATCAACTACAGATACACCCAACTACAACAGATGATAGATAAGATACAGAACTATCAACTACAGATACACCCATCTACAACAGATGATAGATAAGATACAGAAATATCAACTACAGATACACCCATCTAAAACAGATGATAGGTAAGATACAGAACTATCTACTAGTAGATACGGAACTATCTACTAGTAGATACGGAACTATCTACTAGTAGATACAGAACTATCTACTAGAGATACACTCATCTACAACAGATGATAGGTGAGAGGCATGAGGTTGAAAGTCGTTAATATAATTAATTTGAAAAATATCAACCTTAGATTCATTTCAATAACAAAATTCGAAGCACAGAACTGCGGCCGGCCGGCAGTTCCTTTTAGTTGATTACATTACTTACAATGCCTGTGTTCTGCACCAATCAGGCGAATGAAGAAGAGCATACGCAATGTAGTGCGCCATCAGGGAATTTTACCCATTTTCAATGTAATTCCAACTGCCAAGGTTGTTTTCTATGTGCATGCCAATGTGTACAAATCGCCCTCAATTTTTCGGACTATCCAAACAACTATCCGCTGTCATCATCAGGCTCTTCATGCTGCACTGCTGATAAAGAGCAATCCATAGCAATTTTCCCTGTCCCCACGCGGATTGAACACGGTAGCTCCTGATTAGTGCGGCAGGATCTTAATCGCTCAGCCAGAATGTCAAGTGAAAGTAGAGGGTAATGACAATATATGACAACATAGTTCACTAACCTGTAAAGCTGAGAATATATTAGCTAGAGCTTGACCGTAAGTATCATGACAATGTATAGCTAACTTATCCACTGGAACTACTTTACTAACAGATGTAATGAGTTGTTTAACTTGACCTGGTGTTCCTACGCCTATAGTATCACCCAGTGATATCTCATAGCATCCCATATCATATAACCTCTTAGCTACCTGAATATGAATATTAATATGATAATTAGATATATCTAAGCTTTTTCATGCAATGTAACAGTAGAGGATTTTCCCAAGGCAGCAAATTTTCTGCCTGCACTTATTTAATTTACAACTGCAACGGGTTCTTTTACAATAGTTGCACACCAATGTGTACATGGGTGGACCTTAATTTTATGTCTTATCCGAACAACTACATATAGGTAACAGAATATACTACATGTAGCATTACAAAGAGAGAAATTGGGTCTAACATTCACTTAATACTAACAAGGTTATTTTTTTGTCTAACATATGTGAACCATCACTTCGAAACGGGTAGTAAGTCATATAGGCCTGTATTGTGCTAGCACTCATAATAAAATATGTATGTAAATTTGGGTGGACTCTCATATTGCTACTTATTACTCATTTCGATGTCATGGGTCACATATTGTAATTTTCATTTCAATTAATTTGCTTCAGGGGTCTTTAGAAGTGGGAGGAAACCAGATTACTTTGAGATAACCCATGGCCACAAGGTTAGGAAGTCGAACCTAATCCTTGTCACATACAAACTTAGGATGGAACCCATGACTTGCATTGACAACAGGCCTTATGGTCCACAACAGGCCTTGACCACTTGACCAACTCACCCCCACCCATACAGTAGTAGTAACACAGTATGTAAACTTACCTGTGCAACTTTATCAGCTGAAACATCACCTTCATATGGACAACCCAATACACACGATACATACCTAAAATACAAAAATAGGAGTTGCCAGGCAACAAAACATAGATTCACGTACATAGGCATATGAATTGTTGCATTGTGATTCTTTCGGCAAATAAAAAAACAGAAGCTTTATGACCATGTCCTGATAAACCTCAGGACATGAGATTATGATAATATATCATAAAGGGGAATAACTCTAGAAATTGTGAAAATTGATAGGCTTATGTATCAAGCAGATCAGATTATAACTTATATAGTTTAGTGCATGAACAAAATTCTAAAAAATTGACGGAGGGGAATATTTCAGGCACTGAAAATCAATTACTTGCGTAGCTAGTACATTCACAGAATTCTACAAAATTATTATTATGGCTAATAACTCTGGCAGTCATTATTAGAAATCACTGAATATCAATACATAGACTTCTTTCATTTCATTAATGTAAACACTGCAGACAAATTGTAAAATGATTGGACAAGGGTGCTACATCTATCAATTTTGAGCAAAATATGCTACAAACAGACCATGGCTGATAGTTTCATAACCAAAACCATCAAGGGGCCACCAAAAAGAACGCATATCAAAACTAAATATTTACCATGTAACTTGTATATAATATTTACCCCCCTGTAACTAGTATATTTACCCTTTTTATCTGGAATATCTACCCTAAGTATTTGCCCTCTATTGTCTGACTAGTATGATTATCACTGTACCCTCTAACTACCCTTTCCTGGTATACATGTGTATTTACCCCTTAGCTAGTATATGTACCCTCTGTATATTTACCCTCTTTACCTAGTATATTTACCCTCTTGCTACCCTGTAACTAGTATATTTACCCTCCCTTACTGGTATATTTACTCTTTATTGTCTATATAACTAATATTCAGTGTAACTACCCTGTACCTGGTCTATTTACCCTCTAACTGCCCTGGAACTAGTATATTTACCCTCTCTAACTGGTATAATTACTCTTTATTGTCTATATAACTAGTATACAGTGTGACTACCCTCTGACTACCCTCTAACTAGTATATTTACCCTTTCTATATATATTTACCATCTAACTGAACCAGATAAATATTTACCCTCTAACTGGTATATTACTTTGTTTAGCCGCCTGTGTCACTTGTTGAAATCGATTTAAGCTTTCTTCTATAGAGCAGTTAATATTCTTCCTGTAAATATAAACATGTAATTAGTGCGTATTCTGTTGAGTATGAGTATATCAATATAAGGATGTTTGCTGGACAATTTTCACCAACACAAAGAACACAGAGATTCTGTAAAATATAACTAATAAGAAAGTGAACAAATGTATTAGATATTCTACTAATTGGAACATTTTTTTTAAATTCATTATATGTTTTGCACCTGGATTTAAATTCTTTTCTTTTCAATTTATAATCTTTATTTGCCAATAAGCATGCCATACCACTTTCTTGGTAACAGATGAGAGAGCATAGATAATATCGTTCTGGGTAGCAGATCATAGAGCAAAACAATATCGTTCTGGGTAGCAGATAAGAGAGCAAAACAATATCGTTCTGGATAGCAGATAAGAGAGCAAAACAATATCGTTCAGGATAGCAGATCAGAGAGCAAAACAATATGGTACTGGGTAGCAGATAAGAGAGCACAGACAATATCCTTCTGGATGTGAGAGAGCACAGACAATATCATGTGAGAGAGCATAGACAATATCATTCTGAGTGTGAGAGAGCATAGACAATATCATTCTGAGTGTGAGAGAGCATAGACAATATCCTTCTCAGTGTGAGAGAGCATTGACAATATCATTCTGAGTGTGAGAGAGCATAGACAATATCCTTCTGAGTGTGAGAGAGCATTGACAATATCATTCTGAGTGTGAGAGAGCATAGACAATATCCTTCTGAGTGTGAGAGAGCATTGACAATATCATTCTGAGTAGCAGGTAGCTAGAGAGAGCACAAAGGAATAAAATAGGGTATAAGGTCCTATTTTCCTGCACCGACCGGGCTAATGAAAAGAGTAGACAATTAATACAGTTCTGGGTAATAGAGATTAACTAATTGACACAGATGACCAAAATTATCAATAATAAATGTAGACATCAGCCCCGAAAGTGCTATCCCTGACAAGTGAGATCCAGGTTTGAAAAATTTCAAGATTCTTCTCCACTCACGGCAGGATTTGATTCCAGGCCATAGAGTTCAGTCCCTTACTGCTTGACTACTGTGGCCATTTTAAATAAACAAACAAGCACATATAATAATTCTTACTTGCTGAAAGATTCAGATGCTGCACCAAATATGGCCACTTCATCAGCTTTGGCAGATACCTGTTGATTATTGTAAAAATAGCTTACACACTAAATTCCAAAAAACAAGAGGCTCAAGAGCCGTAATAGCCCATGGGTTAAGAAATTAAGAGAAATGGGGTTTAACGTCCTACTGTTCTAGACTGAAAGGGCCAATGAAGACAGCATACGCCATACAAGGTGCTATGAGGGTAAATTTGCACAGATAGCGTCACTATGTTTACTCTTATAATCTAATTCCAGCTGCCAAGGGTTGGATATTGAACAGGCAATGCAAATATATGCTTCTGAAATGGCGATTCTTAAATTAATTTCATGGGCATCGACATCTCGATTTAGGACTATTACCTCCCTTATTACACTCTCTGTTTGAAAAAAAGTAGATTTTGTACAAGATAACATAAAGGACAGGATAATCAAAGTTTCCTATTTATTCAGCTTATGGAGGAAATCACAACATAAACATCGTCAGAAATTTAAGGGTTCCAAGGAATAAGTGGGAATCAGTATTTAAAAGTCTCAAAGTTTCCTATTTATTCAAAGAATGGAAGATATCACAACGTAAACATCGTCAGAAATTTGATGGTTCCAAGGAATAATAATAATTATGATTGAATGAATAAGCCAAATAGCATAAAATAGCTAAAAGATGCAATTTACCGAATTACAGAACCCTGCCAATACCACATAGCATGTAGGTTTTTCGTTTATTCCGCAAGAGCAACGTAACCCCTATCAATCAGGCTATATTTTCAAATGCAGAAGGTTGACTCTTTTAACCGATAACTTTTGAATAACTTCATAATTACTGGACTATTATGTACAGCACAGGTACTGCCATGAACCAGACGTAGCATAACTCTGAAACCAGAAGTGGTAAGCCATTGCCACCAAGCCTATGTCACTCCCCGGACCGAGCTACCCCATTACACCAAATTTTAGCCTCGAGACAGCCCTAGTGTAGCCACCAACCATGAACAGACAGACAGACAACAGCCAAACAAATGACAGCCACAAATATTAGTATAGATGATACTCTATATTACAGATCAGAAAGACAGACTGGAAATGTGTCACATTTAAAACATAAATTTCTTGCTAGCATTAATTTCTTCTAGCATTAATTTTGTGTTTTAATATTTTAATTTTACTTCAACTTACAGCTGCTTGGAAACCTTGTATATTGGGCGTTAAAGCTGAAAATACTACACCAGATTTACGTTGAATTCTGTCTAATACTTCTTTGTGATCACTCATCTATACAAAAATATATAAACAAGCCAACAGTGAGGCTGATGTCCCCCGCCGAAATAGGAAAATAATTAGAGGACACATATAAATTTATCACAAATTATCTTTTACAAAGTATTGAACAATCAAACAGTTCAACCAATCAAATTGCTTATCTCTGCTTACCCTAAGCGGAAAATGCTCATCTTCGAACTCCATCAAGGCATTGACCTAATCAACACATACACCAAGTTTGAACATTCTAGCTCAATTAGGAAGAGAGTTATCGTGCCCCAAAGTATCAACCAATCAAATTGCTTATCTCTGCTTACCCTAAGCGGAAAATGCTCATCTTCGAACTCCATCAAGGCATTGACCTAATAAACACATACACCAAGTTTGAACATTCTAGCTCAATTAAAAGTTATCGTGTCCCAAAGCATCAACCAATCAAATTGCTTATCTCTGCTTACCCTAAGCGGAAAATGCTCATCTTCGAACTCCATCAAGGCATTGACCTAATCAACACATACACCAAGTTTGAACATTCTAGCCCAATTAGGAAGAGAGTTATCGTGTCCCAAAGCATCAACCAATCAAATTGCTTATCTCTGCTTACCCTAAGCGGAAAATGCTCATCTTCGAACTCCATCAAGGCATTGACCTAATAAACACATACACCAAGTTTGAACATTCTAGCTCAATTAGGAAGAGAGTTATTGTGTCCCAAAAAGTGTGACGGACAGACAGACGGACAGACAGACGGACGGACAGACGGACAGACAGACGGACAGACAGACAGACGGACGAACCCATTTTAATAGTCCCCTGCTTTCTTCGAAAGGCGGGGGACAAATATTGATAAACATGTAGACAAACATTGATATGATACACTGACTAAAACTCTGGACTCCAGTCTTTACTAGTTATATCATAATACTGTAAAATAGACAGTAGTGTATATATTGGCCTCTAGTCTATGGTAATACTAGTTATATCATATACTATACTAATTATATAGACAGTATATATTGGCCTCTAGTCTATAGAAATACAAGCTATATCATATACTATACTAATTATATAGACAGTATATATTGGTCTCTAGTCTAGGGTAATACTAGCTATATTATATACATGTACTATAATAATTATATAGACAGTATATATTGACCTAGAGTCTACAGAAATACTAGTTGTTCATAATATTGTACTAATTATATAGACAGTATATACTGGCCTCTAGTCTAGGTAATACTAGTTATATCACCGCCTAATACACCGAAAAATACGGTAATAATTACGCCTCTTTTCAAATGACTAAAGCAGAAATAAGATCTGGCAGAATTTTTTATAATGACTGACACATCAACTGTGACATGTTATTTCAAGCACACACTTTACTTAAATCCTGTTTTGAGTTAGTGAAAATAGATTATAATTTCCAATCTTCTGTCAGTCATACAAAGGTCCCAGTTCTTAATTAATAAGACAATATGGTTATGAAAATATGATATAAATTTTAGGCCATATAAGAAAATATTCTTGTGAACATATTATTGTCCAAGGAATACCGTATTAAAAATTGGACAGAACATTATCTCCTGCTCTATTTTCCCCATCTAATACACTAATGAATAAAGAGCTAGGAGTATATAGATTCAATGAGTTTAGCTCACCTGATGCTAGGTTACCAATGTTGTGCCATTACGATAGGATTGTCCCTATTGAGTTCAAGATCTCATATGTGCACATATTGTACGTTCGGATACGTTTTGATACAATCAACATGATTTCTACGACTGACCTCAATATATCATAATATCTGACAGAATCACCACGATTACTCCAAGATTAAAACCATGTTTCAATTGTAGCGTAAATCGCAATAGTGAGAAGCTAGCATTAATAAATACACCAACGTTTCAGACATTGGGAATATAGAATCTATGAGATTACCTGTGGTACACACCTAATACATAGGTCTATGAAAACTGGACATGGGAATATAGTATAGAATCTAGTGCTGGCACGATTGATCGTTGAATCGATGTATCGCAATACACCTTCTCATGATTCGTGTCTTGAATCGCAAGGCTTGGCATTGATTATTTGCGTTTCTCTTTTATGTCTTTTTGTCGCTTCGATAACTAACCTGTCACTCTAAACTATCCACGTCACACATTATCCATAGGTATGAACACACTCTTAAATTGTTTTGGTCCTTAATTTGATCCAAAAGAATATTGTGGTATTAAACAGTTTTTTCTAAAACATCGACAGGACCAAAATTCTCACCATCAGTAAATATTGACCTGGTTATGAATCGTGATACGATTCGTGTTATAGTATTTCGATTGCAATACGTATCATATCGTGACTGCTGTGGCAACACCCAGCACTAATAGAATCCATGAGATTATCTCACCTGTGATACCCATCTAATACACCTATGAATGATGGTCTGGGTATATAGAATCAATGACATTAGCTCACCTGTGGGGGGTTTGGATAGTCTAGTGGTCTAGACTGTCGTGCTACGACCTCTAGCTGGCCGGTCACCTTTAGCTTTCGGCTGTGTTTTCAATCCCTGGTGTGAGCGCATGCAGCTTGGAGATAGAGGCACCTTCTCAACCTCGTGGGCTTACTCCGGCTAATTCGGTTTCCTCCCACAGGAAAGACCCCAGCGCGTGCGCTAAGATAATAAAAATGAAAATTAGACATCTTGTCTGTGATATTACCTTCGGCGGAAGCGGACGTTAAATACTAAGAACAACAACAGCTCACCTGTGGTACCCATTTAGGTGAAACAAAACTGGTGACTTCTATAACAGAGAGACCGGTATCAGATAAACGGTTTATAAACTCTACTTTCACATCAGTTGGTACTATTTCCTGAAATATATAATTACAACTATTCACAGTAATACAACAACCCAAATCTAAGTTCACAGTTCTCCCAAGACAGAGGGGAGTTGGGTGGCCGAATGGTGGTTAACGTGTGAGCGTTGCATCATAAGGTATGTCATTAAGTCAAATGAGGTGGTTTCCTCCCACTGCTAAAGACAGACCCCTACGCACATTGAATTAATGAAATGAAATTGAACCATATGCTAATCCCAAAATGACCTAATTTGTGTCAAGTGGAGGTTAAATCACTCTCTCTTCTTCTCCTCTCCCCTCTCTTGCCTCCTAGCCCCCCTCCCACTCCGCCGGGCCTGCTCTCTCTCTCTGGATATAAGGATATAAGGCACCTGTCATAGACTTTGTCAGAAACAAATTATCACACAACGTACATGTATATCATCGTATACATTGTGCAATAATTTGTATTTGACAATGTCTGTTACAGGTGTGTCTTATGTCCAGGTTTGTATATGTGCGTTGTGGGATAATTTGTACTTGACAAAGTCTGATTACAGTACCTTTTCATTCTGTAACCCATCTCTTGGTCCTACTTCAACAATCTTTACAAAACTTGGCAAACCAGCAATCTTAAATAAAATATAGAAACATTGTAAAAATACTGTATAAAATATATAAATACTGTATAAAATATATAGGCATACTGTTAGATATTGTATATAAAATGGGGGCTAACTGGTAGCCTACCATTCGGTACCGTACATATTATGTGTATGTAACCATATATACATGTAAATATAATAATCAGGCTTATAATAATAATGACTTTTATTCCACCTGGCAAAACTGCTCCTATTTTAATCAAGCAGCAACTTTCCAATTCATTTTAAGATTATTCATTCAACTATTGAACAAAGTCTTCGTTTTACTTTTTGCAATAGTCTAGTGCAATTTTAAATAACAAATTGAAAACACTTATTATTTTTTAATGCTTTGATATTCTCATGTTGTAGGCTAGCTGCTATATATGCCTTCATTCATGTATTTTATGTGTTTTATAAATCATTTAAAATTGCTAATATTTGGGACCTAGAAATTAACATAAATGGGTCGCAACACATGTAATAATGTAATGTGAATGTACCGATATATAAACTGATTTACATTTAATCGTCTCTGTTTTTACTGTAATTTCTAATCAGTTGTGTTCGGCGAAATACGCCACAGAAGTCGCAATTGATTGACAATCTCTAGCGTCTGGTTATTCCAGTCTATAGGCATACCGATTGATCACGATTACATGTCATTTGGGACTCACGTCATTTGGGACTCGCGTCATTTGGGACTCAAAAAAATATGACCACGACATTTGGGACTCGGGTATACGACGTTTGGGACTCGGGTATATGACGTTTGGGACTTTGGTATACGTCGTTTGGGACTCGGGTTAACGACGTTTGGGACTCGGGATAATTTATTAGAAATAGGCCAATTCAAAAAACGAAAGAAAATATTTATTAACATGAAACACGTGGTTAGTAAAAGGCTCAACCAAACGATAAAACATTAGTTGCACTTACGGTTCTTTGATAATCATCATTTCTCATAAAAGTTATATATTTATTTAAAACGAATAATATGCTGATGAATTTATTTGAAAATGACCTACACAAAAAACAAAATAAATATTTACACGACATGCAATCTTTTTTTACAAGCCCCTAGAAATTGTTAACGATAATCCGTGAGCTGCACGTTGACATGCTTGTCGTAGATGGCAATACCAATTGATAAATTAGTGCGTACAAGGCAAAGTTTTTTTGTGGAAAATATAAGAAATGGCAACGATCAAAGCGGGATAATTAAAGCTGATTAACTGATAATCCCAATGTTATTACAGTATGTTCAAAGAAACCTAACGGTTCTTTGGTGGATGAGGAAAAACGTGAGTTGTCAATCATCGAGAATGGCGGCCGTGTGTTGATTGCAGTTATACCGTTTCACAAAAAAACATTAGCAGTGGTCGGTCAATCAAGCTCGTTTACTATTTGATAAAAGAAAAACACAAATTTTCAACAATATATTATTGTCAAGTTTTATACTCGCAGATAAAACAAAACAAAGGAGAACTAGCAGTGTTAATCGCGGTCTCAACAATCGCCGATCAACTAAATAAAACGAAAGACAACTAAGACAGCTGTTACTATATATCTCATAAATAAATAGTCCCAACTGTCGTTTATATTGAGTCCCAAATGTCGTTTGTGTTGAGTCCCAATTGACGCCAATCAAGTCCCAAACGTCGTCAACTGAGTCCCAAATGTCGTTTATGTTGAGTCCCAAATGACGTGTGTCCCAAATGACGTGATACCTTGATCACAACATCAATGTAAATGTTGATTTAAATTGAAAAATAATTTGTGTTTTCACAATGTCGAAGTCTTTGGATATTGAATTAGAGAATTATCTACTTTAAATTATTTCATCATTAAATATGTTTTGTTAACATTTTCTTCTACAAACACTGATACAGTGTATGATTGCAGAGCGCATCAATATAAAATATCTGGAGACTGGTGAACGTTGTTGATCCTTACTTTCACTTTATAAAAATTTCAGGGCTGCCATTTGGTGGTGATTATCAATTTTTCAGGATTTTTTTGTCAACAGTTTTGACTGATGAAGTCAATCAAATCAAGACGGGTTTAAGAAACACTTACACTGACTTGTGCGAACTGACGACACTGAACATTACATTGATTCGCCCAAATTTTTCCGGACTTCAAAATTCGTCTGACAGTCGCCGCCATCTTGGAATTTAAGTTCAGTGCCAAACGATCAATTTTATAAAATTAAACGCATTTTGGGTGTAATCTTGGTTTTGTAGGGCAATGAATCACTTGTAAATATACCCAACAACTTCCGCAACGACAATAACAGACTTAGAATATTAATTTAAACTTATATAAATGACTTTCAAGAAAAAGTAGAACAAAATTGGCGATTGCAATTTCTATCACTCTGTATGTAAGGAAACGAAATAGTAAACTGTCTACTTTATAAAACTTGGTTCATAAAATAATCCATTAATAATATGGAATTGTTTGCTCTTATAAACAGTTTAATTAGGAAAATTCAATGTATTTCATAATACTATTCAAATTGTTGTTTATGAATATTTTTCGTACCGGCCTCTATCCGTTCCGTAAAATATCGTGAACAGCTAATGGCAGCTCATTGTAAGTCAAGGCATTGCCACGTTGTCTTAAAATATTTTCCTTTTTCTCTCATTTTCAGTCAAATTCCTCTTATTATTTATAACACTAAAATTTATTAAGATATGGGGGTCACACTGAAATTGGTCGCATGCATGCCATTTAACAGATAATGTCTCAATTGAGGAATTAAATTTCTGGTGGAGGGTCATAATTTTCTCCATTGCTCCAGGCCTACCGCTAAGCCCGAATATGAATGTGAAAAATGCCGGCGAACTAGTTGTTGCCAAGGGCTTCTGAGTAACCTATTTAAATTTCTTTTATGAAATCATTATATATTTTGTAATCTACAACCATTATTCACACAGAAGATCGAGTAACATGGTTTTTAAATTTTTTTTAACAATCCTTTGTTTATAACTTTATATCATCGTGATAGGTGTAGGCCCATGATAGACTTAATTCATTCAAAGCCTCTAGTAAATGAATTGATACAGTCCTATTTTAAACAAAGTGAACTTTAAATTTTTATTTTTAATCCAGAAAAAGTCATGTAAGCTTATAAGTTAAGTACCGGTATTCCAAAATGGTGATAATACTGATAATGAAATGATGGGGTTTAAATAAATGTCCCCCCTTTTTACACCAACCATCAGGCTAATAAGGGCATAAGCCTTGCAATGTGTTATGAGAGTAATTTTACATGGACAGAAGCCTGGACTCGTCATCAAAATTGCCTGTCAAACCTCATGGGTTTTCTCTGGTTTCTCCAATTTCCTCCCACTGCTAAAGACCATGCCATGTGCAAGTGAATTAATGAAATAAAATTGAACCATAGTTAGTTCCGAAATGACCTAGTTTCTCTATCTCTATCAAGTTACAAACTGTCAGGGATAAAGAAAGGCGCAGAACACAGAGCTCTGGATGTTGAAAACCAAAATGAAATAAAATATATAATGTCGGTAGTAATAAAATTATTACAAGATGTTACATGTAAGTCGTTTAAAGACCTATAGCCTTTGTCAAAGGTTCACAGAACAAGGTGTAAAAAAATAAATTTTGATGTAGGCAAAATAATTTTTTTTTTCTTTTTCCAGAAAATTTAAAACAAAGTATTTCAAGCAGTTGTGAGAGACAGTTGACAAAATGTCAGCGAGCAACAACCAAGCTGACTCCAGAAATAAAACCTACCCCGGTTTGTACAAAGTTATTCTAATCCAGGCCACTAAATTTCAAATTTAACATGAATGATTTTCCATTCCTGTGAAATTTACAATATTTTATTTTGCTTAGTCAAGTAATGCTGGCCTGGGTACCCCGGTAACGAAAATTCATTAAGCAAATTCCTCGCAGAGCAATGTTTGAAATATTAATTTTAATGTACCGTAATAAAAATAAAATCAAAACATCATGTGTAGTTATCTAGCTCGATTTGGATTCAAATCAATCAGGTTAAAAAGAGGCCTGTCTAAAGATTTCAGCAAAGATTATAGGTAGTGCTGGCATGTTTTGACCAAATGTTGGATAGCATTTGCAATGGATGCTGAATGTTGACAAATTTTATTTTTCATTTCATCATATCATTATAAATACTAAATGGAATGGAAAAATCCGCTTTCACAATATTGTAGTTAGCATGCAGGGTTTGCCACAAGACCTCTCACACACACTTCACTTGCTTAAAATGAAGTTTACGCGAAGAGTAATTAAGTACTGGCTAAACTTGCATAAGGTCAAATTTATGTGAGTAATTTAAGATACATTATGTAAGATTTAGATAAAGAGCTAGTCATTTTTGCTATAATAGTTCGAAAATAGATTATGTAAAATGAATAGTTTGGAAAAATTTTATTCAAATTACTCTATTGCGAGCGAGGATATTAGCCTTTGAAGGTTTGACAAGATGTGTGCAATAATTTCAACCACTGTACTGGATGTTCGAAGCAACGTGTAGCTCCTCCATTTTTAGCTTAAATCAAAATATGGCTGAACTGTTCTAATCTATTTAATATCAGAGAAGTCCAATGCCATCGAGAGTTAATTAATGTCTAATTAATAATTAGAAAACATTTCAGGACTAAAGAAAGACCTGCAAAATAGGCAAATTTAGCTCTTGCATAATGTATGTTTAAGTACTCGCGCGAATTCAAACAATTAATTTAATCAGAAATAATGAAACATATCGTAATAATAAAGCCGTGAACAATTTGTATGCCTAAATATTGATCCATTATTATTGTGCATGTGGCGTAACCGTTTTCAAGTGCACGCCCTTTGTCGAGTCTGGATAATCAAGACTGAAGCGAATGTAGAACGTTTGTCGTTTCTGTAGTAATTCTTATAATCTGCCATCTTTTCTGCAATTCGATACGATTTTAGGTCTGTTGGGATATAACCTCACCACTGAAAGTAACACTATGACAATCATACTGTTTTAATGCTATCTTTGTATAACATTACCAGAGAGGGTTAGTCAATAGTACTGCCAAGGAAATAGAAGAGTATGCATTGCCATCAGGCACATGAAATGAAATGGTTACTCACGCAAGTCATTCTGCGTGAGTAATTACATGTACTCGCCCCACTCGTGCAAGTCTATATTTGCGTGAGTAGTCATCATCTACTCGCAACCAGTTTGCTCGTGGCAAGCCCTGGCATGTACTTCATAATCCGTCAAATGACCATCAGAGACTTGAAATTGAATTAAATAGCATTTAAAGTTTTCAATGTGACCACTAGTTTTTAGGATCACTATTCTAAATGTCTTGAAGGGGGGATTGGATGGCCGAATGGTAAGCATGTGTGGGCTGTATCATAAGGTCTGTCATTGTGTCAACTGGCGTGGTTTCGATTCCCCGGTTGTTCGTGAGTAGGGTTGCCTGCCCAACCTCATGGGTTTCTCCGGGTCCTCCGGTTTTCTCCCACTGTTAAAGAAATACGCGCAAGCGAATTATTGAAATGAAATTGAACCATGTGTTAGTCCCGAAATGACCTAGTTTGTGTCGAGTGGATGTTAAGCCCCATTTCTCTCTCTCTCTCTCTCTAAATGTCTTGAAGAGGCATTCTCATTTATAAGAAGAAAATGGGTATATAATTAATTTTATTGGATCTTTTCATTTTATATTTTACAGAGGATTCTAAATGGGGTATCCGTAAAAAGGTTTGGGATCATATAAACAATGAAAAACTGGCCAACTTTCCACTACCAGTTTACCATCGTATCCCAAACGTCAAGGTAAGTGCTATTTTATTCTTCAATTTTGTGTTGTGTATTAGTTGTTTAATTACCTCACCTTGGTCTCTCTCAGCAGGTTTGAAACGGTCATCTGTCCAACCTTGTGGGTTTTCTCCGGGTCCTGCGGTTTATGGAAATAAAAATTGAATCATGTGTTAGTCCTGAAATGACCTAGCCTGGGTCGAGTGGACTTAAACCCTCTCTCTCTCTCTCTCTCTCTCTCGCTCTCTCTCTCTCTCTCTCTCTCAACGGTTATAGACTTACAATTTACATTGTCCGATTTACAAGCATTTGATTTTCTGACCACAGTTCAAAAAGAACGTCCCAATGAAATATTATACATCAATAATCAATTGGGTTGTTTGTTTTTGAACAGTGGTCAGGAAATTAAACACTTGTAAATTCAATGCTTGTTACCAAAATTAAACAGTCAGCTTTAAACTGGACATAGTATAAATTAGATGATTTTGTTTTTTTGTTTGATGATTTTTACGATTTAATATTGAATGAATGTGAAAGAAATTAGGGCTAAATACACAAGATTCAATGATTACCAAGTTACAGTGTGTGTTGGTCTCAGTCAGCAGGTTAGACATGGTTAGCAACACCCTGATCAGCAGTGAATATTTGCTAGGCCGCTACAATCACTGATAAGGATGACATCAATGCGACTTAATGAGTCTCAAATATTAACTTTCTTCCACCGACAAATTAAATTCTAAAACATTTTTTGATGTATTAGAAAAAGACGTTTGACGTATTTGTAGGTAAAAATTATTTCCTATTTAGTGTAAATGGATATTAAAATGACTAAAAAAGGCAAAAGGTAAACAATGCACGCACCATTCAGACAAGATTGACGGCACGTATGGAAGGCAGTCATCTTTTACAGAGATATTGGAAGACTTTCGTAATTCTCTGTGAAACAGATTGGGTTAGCAATTGTTTCTAAGAAAGGCTTAATTTCAGCAGAATAAAGTATAAAAAATATGGTATTTAGATGTTCATTTATTTGACTGTTTATTACAGACCTCAGCTGAAGCCAGTGACAAAGCAGCAGAGCTTGATGTCTTTAAAAAAGCCCAGGTGGTCAAAATAAACACTGATAAACCTCAAGAACAAGCTCGTCTACACGCCCTACAGGTAAATTATTTTTCTACATTGTAAAACACAAAATTTATATGTCATAATATTAACTTTTAGCACTAATATTGCTCCTACTTCAAATTCTTTTTTAAAACAATATTTATTCACAGAAACTGGATTTGGAAGAACAGGCAGAAGCCTATCAATCTAATTAAAACACAGATCCTATTTGGTTTCGTTTTTTATAGTTCAAAATTTCGTTTTACTTGTCTTTACTGAACTAGGATCTGGAAGCTGTGTTCTGATTAATGTGAGTGATAGCCAATGATAAGGTCTGTTACGACAAGTTTTTGGCGTGCAATGCATGGGACTGTGGGTTAGAAACGTCAACACCGGTTGATTAATCAATGTCTGACGTCATAAGGTGAAAAGACACCAACTGCGTAGAAAAATGTTCAAACATACATTATAAAGGACTTTAACTATGAAAGATAGATGAAACTATTGTTAAAATATACTTCAGACTGGAAAGACTGTTCTAGTACCTACACCTGGTAAAAAGACTGGATTGTTAAGTAAAATAGTTCCACCAGCTGATTCCAAACCAGAAGAATTGAAAGCCTGCTCACAGGCACTTGTAAGTATTGTTTCTAAAACAGTATAACTATATGATACGCATGTTGTAATGTTACCTCCTGGAAACGATGTGCTTAGAGTTTTTAGAAAACTGAGAATATACAGTAGTATTGATAAAGGAGGTCTTGATGGTTTGCCTACTCTTTCTAAAACACCTGATACCACTTATCCGAGGAGTTAGGGGAGTCACAGTGGCTAAGTGGGTAAGACGTTGGCTCGCTATCCTGGAGGTCGGGTGTTCGATCCTTGCTTTGGCTGAGAAATTTTATCAGGATTTTCCGAAGTGGTTTCCCCTTGTCAGTGGTGGGGGACTGATGGCCTGACAAAGACAGCTGTCTAGTCGTTTGGAAGGGACAAAAAACTGAGGTCTCATGTATGCAGTTGGAATTCGATATAAGAGTAGGGCAAAATTTCCCTCATAGCACACTGTATGGCCTATGGCTATCTTCATTAGCCCAGTCGGAGCAGAACAGTAGGACGTTAAACCCCATTTCACTTCATTTCGGAGGAGTTATCTCAGCTGACAAATTTTGACTATACTTTAGCATTTATCATAAAGTTGTATTGTGGTGGTTTGGTTCTGATGGAATGATCGAGACATCTTGTATTGAATATAAACAAAATATTATTTAATTAAATTGCAGGGTATGGGAGAACATAGTCAGACTCTAGAACTAGATGAGGTTATCAAGATTGATCTGATTATTATTGGGTCTTGCTGCGTATCCAAGGAAGGTAAGTACCACACAACTCCCTTCTCTCTTTCGCAGGGAGTCACAGTGGCTAAGTGGGTAAGATGCTGGCTCGCTAGCCTGGAGGTCGGGTGTTGTTCGATCCCTGCATTGGGCGAGAAAGTTCATCCAGATTTTCAGGCGTGGTTTCCTCTTGTCAGTGGTGCAGGACGGAGGGCCTGGCAAGGACGGCTGTCTAGTTGTTTGGATAGAACGAAAAAACTGAGGTCCCGTGTACACATTGGCATGCACGTAAAAGATCCCTTGTCAATTGGAATTCGATATAAGAGTAGGCCGTAGAGCTGCTGTCTGGGCAAAATTTCCCTCATAGCACACTGTATGGCATATGCCCGTCTTCATTAGCTGAGTCAAGAGGAAAACAGTAGGACGTTAAACCCAATTTCATTTCATTTCTCTCTTTGACCCTCTGAATTATTTCATCCTAAAGCCGCTGCTCTCTCGTATGCATTTTGCTGGCAGTATATCATAGCTTCATGGCTTAAAATCCACCTTAGAATGCATTCATATTGTTTATTTAACATTTGATTAAGAAATGAAATTGGGTTTAATTAAGAAATGAAATGGGGATTAACGTTCTACTCTGAATGAGCCAATGAAGACAGGCATATGAGCGAAATTTTGCCCCCGACAGTTAGGGAATCTTTTCATGCATGCAAATGTACATGTGACCTCAATTTTTCGGCTCATCCAAAGGACTTTTAAGCAAAATAAGATTACATACCTATACCACAGCGCTCTTTATTTTTAATCATATTTATCACTCACTCTTGACATTGACCAACTGGAGATTTAACCTGGCAGTCAATTTTCATGCCATAAAATTATTTATTTCAAGTTAATGTTGCTCGTCTTTAAAAGAAGCAGGGTAGTAACACTTTCATGGATACAATAACTCAACTTTCTTTTCATAAATGACATGAGAGATTTTGATGATGAGCATTTTCTATCTAGTCTAAGAAAAGATAAGCCTTTTGATCTGTTGAGACTTTATAACACTTGAACTCTCCTTCTATTGTATATGGTATGAAAGTCTATATTTGTCTATAATTCAGGAATATTAGGCCTTGAACGAGTCCTATTTTTAAATTAAGACGAAATATTTTTTGTTTGTGTTGCCAGGTAACCGTCTTGGAAAGGGAGAGGGTTATGGTGATTTAGAGTACGCCATGATGATGAATGCAGGCTACATCACCAAAGATACACCAGTCGTCACCATTGTAGATGATGTCCAAATCCAGGAAATACCAGAAAAAATACTGGAAAAACATGACGTATCGGTAGACTACATTGTCACACCAACCCAGATCATAGAGACAAAGTGTCCTAGACCTAAGCCAGCTGGTATTGATTGGTCCCTTCTAACTGAGAGGTGAGTTGACAACTCGTAAATATGAACAGGATTTTCATGTCTGTTTTTTTCACTTGTTAGCAAAGGTGGCACCAAATGGTTAGCGTGTGCGCACTGCATCATAAGGTCTGTCATTGAGTCAACTGTCGTGGTGTCAATTCCCTGGTTGTCTGTGACAAGGAGTAGGGTCGCCTGTCCAATCTCGTGGGTTTTCTCTGGGTCCTTTGGTTTCCTCCCACTGCTAAAGACCCCTATGCACAAGCGAATTATTGATGTAAAATTGAACAATATGTTAGTCACGAAATGACCTAGTTTGTGTGCATGGACCTTACCCCCATCTCTCTCTCTCTCTCTCTCTCTCTCTCCCTCCCTTCCTCTCTCTCTTTTCTTTAAGCCTGAAATGTTAAATAAACTATTGTTTAGACATTTATTAACATGACAAGGCTAACAACTTCGCTCGCAATAGAGTAATTTGAATTAAATTTTCAAAATGTACATTTTACATTATTTATTTTCAAACTATTATAGCAAGAATGGCTTGCTCTTCATCTAAATCTTACAGAATGTATCTTTAATAGGCTGGTTTCCCACAAAAAGTATAAAAAGTAAGAAACACGACACAATATCTTCTTTGTGGGGATGAGAAATAAGTTGTTTAATTTAAGATACATTATGTAAGATTTAGATAAAGAGCTAGCCATTCTTGTTATAATAGTTTGAAAATAGATAATGTAAAATGTACATTTTGAAAATTTCATTCAAATTACTCTATTGAGAGCGAAGATATTAGCCTTTGAAGGTTTGATAAGATGTGTGCAATAATTACATCCATGTACTGATTGTTCGAAGCCAAGTCTCTTTCCTCCATTTTTAAATTAAATCAAAATATGGCTGAACCAATCTATTTAATAACGGAGAAATCCAATGCCATCGAGAGTTGATTATGGCCGGGATCAGTTAATTAATAGCTTAGAAAACATTTCAAGCCTAAAGAAAGACCTGCAATGGGCAGATTTAGCTCTTGCATAATATGTGTTTAAATGACCTAATTCATATAGTGAAGATAGAAATTGAGGAAGGTTTTACCGATATTTATGTTAACTCCATTTCAGATACCTGGAACGCATCCCAGTGTTAAAAATTCTCCAAGAGAAAGACCAGAAGGCCGGTCGTGACACTAAACTAGGAGAGTTTGAACCCGAACCAAGACCTAAATTTACGCCACCACGTCGCAGTAGACGTCCCTATGGTAACAGACGTATGCGAGGCCGCCGCAACACAGACCGTAGTAGCAATCACTCTAGAGAGGGACGTGACGGAGAGAGACGTGATTCCGACAGACGGGAGAGAGGTGACTCTGACAGCAAGGATAAGTCCGAGAAGGAGAACAACCCTCGTCAACAACGTCCTCGTCCCAGGCGGAGACAGAACCAAAGTAACATGTCCGTGTATGTTGGTGGTCTGCCACGATCACTGAGGGTCAGCGAATTCAAGAAGGATATCCACGATCGCGATGTTCAACCCCTTCGTGTTGTCTGGCATGGCTCCAACGGACATGCTTTCCTCCAGTTCCAAAAACAGGATGAAGCCGAGAGTGCTCTGGAAGCTCTTCAGAACCTCAGTATCAAAGGTCGTGACCTCAAAGTCGAGAAGGCTAAAGGTGGACGCAGAAACTCAGAGAAAGTTTCTGAGAGTCAGGATCAAGATCGCGAACCAGAAGATAAATAAATACACGTTTTGACTGCTGGTCTCCATATTAGGATTTCAATATTAAAAAAAAAATCTTTTGAATTAAATTGTTCCTTTACATTTGAAAAATTAAAGACCCAATCAATGTCAAAGAATTAGAAGATATTAAAAACTTTGCTGTAATTTGTCAGATCTAAAACAATAATATTTATGCTAAAAGAAATTAAAAACATTTTTTTTAATTTGGCCATATATCGGTGATTTTAAATTTGGCGGCATATCAATATGATCAAAGAATTGTTATAAGAAGTTTACAAGACATTTCCATGGCGACCAGCAGAGCAGACGTACAACAGGCTTTTTACTGGGTTTACGGTAGAGTAGGTTAATTAAACATCTCGTATATCTATATATAACTTAAGACTTGACGATCTAATATTAATAAAGACTGGACAATCTAATAACATTTACTACAATATTCAAGTTAGTTCCAGAAAAATAAAGGCAACAAATTTTAAAAGAAAACAACAAAAAATCATCAAAAGTTATAAGAATTATCACTCCAACAACTTTTTTCTGTAGTTAACCATTACTGAAAGAGACTTAATTCACAGAATTTGTTTTCAAAAGGGACTGAACTCTCAGTATTTGTCATCAGATTAACCAGTCTTTAATTCTTCTATTTTATTACTAATAACAAAAACAAAACGTACTGTTCATTTAATCTGTATTCACGTTGTGCCTTCAGTGTTCAAATTAAATATTATTAAAGAATACATTTTTATTGACACACTCTACTTCAGAGCAATGTTTCAGCTTTATGGAGAGAAATAGATGACAAAATTCAAACATCGTATAAATTTTAGAGACTTGGTTGACCGTTCATTTGTGCTATGACTGATCTGGCAAATGTTTCTGGTCATACAGCTGACATGATATCAGGTGTTTCCGTTACAAAACTGGAAGAAATGAATATTTGATTGGATGCTGCTCTCCATACAGCCACTAGTACATCTGGTGTGTCCATAGAAATGTCTACAATATACGAAATATTTAAATTGTTAACAGATTATAAAATATCTTTTCATTCAAAAGTTTATTTTAAATTGTTGTTTAATTGTTCTAATAGTTGATATACAAAATGGCAGGAAAATACAATAACACTATTTAAAAAAAAAAATGGCCTTGAGATTGAAATCCTATACTAGTCAGTAGAATACATATATTGACTGGGATAGGATTTGGTTCACATGCAGACGTTAAAATTTGTGGTGTTATTTATTATATCTAGTCCACTAGATTTTTATGTACTATTCTAACTTCAATAATCTTAACTGCTTCTCTTATTGGCTGCATCTACAATTCGATTTTCTATCTAAAATATTTTTGACTTGTTCTTATTTTAGATAGTAATCATTGTAATGGAAATTTGGCAAAAATCAGCGTTTTAGCTCTCAAATATTTTGTTACTTAAGATTTTTTTTTTTATAGACAAATTATCAAATCATCGAATAATATTTTCTGGTGGGAAAATTTTTCAATATTTTTACAATTTGTTCTTGTAACCTTTTTAACTTGCATTTATTTTGTCAAGAAATTAAAAAGGTTTTTTTTTCTTCAAATATTTGTTCCATACCAAAATAGTTCTTGCTCGACTTTCATTTAGTTTTAATTAATTATGATGGAATATCAGGAATTGGTTGGGGTTTTTTATTTATTAATTTATTTTAATTTTTTATAAAAAAAACAATAATAAATAATTATAAGGCTTTTTTTTCCCGTGTAAACTTTTGTTTTAGGATTAAAACTGTATTAAAGTGTTCATTTCAGCAATTGTACTTATATCGTTTGTGTTCTCTCCAAAAATATAATAGTGATAATATTTCTCTATAACTTTTGATTTGTCTTACCCTTATATTTGAATGTAGTTTAATAACAAATTTGTGTGAACAAATTGTTATAAAGAAATTATTTTAATAATTCATTTTTTTATTAAAAATTTAGTAAATACTCAAAATAAGATTAGAATTAAATGAAAATTTTAATGATGCTATGTAAAATTATGAGATCAGTAATTTCAGAAAATGTGATTTTTTTTTTTAATTTTTTTTTTTTTAAGAAATGAAATTAAGTAAATTTGTCTTTTTGTTTTGTTATTTTGCATAATTTAATTGTGTACCAAGCGACATATCTTGTTTTGTTATCTTATTTGGGTTTTATTCAAAGAGTATAAAAATACAGTTGCAATTTTTTTTCAATAATATTTTAAAAACCAAAGAGAAATTTCTATGGCATTTGAAACTTAGTTGCTGTGACATCTACAGTTAATTCAAGAAATCACAGGTCTACAGAGGCCTGATTCAAATAACCTTAAACACTACACACCATTGATTAAAACCCAAAAAGATAATAAATTAAATTATTTATGTTTTATTTCTTCTTCTCTTTTATTATTTTTGTCAAGTTGGGTTAGTGCTAGTTATTTTTTCACTTTCTCTTTTAAAGACTCTTTTGTTGTAAACCAAATCGCATTTCGCCAATTACCTGTTTTGGGTGGCTGAATGATTTCTAGAAAAAAACAACTGTTTGTGTTGATAAACCTGAACCTTGAAGCATTTCAAGTTGTTGGAATTTTTTTTATCACAAATTGAGCGTAAAGCGATTTTTTATTTTACAACAGATGAATCTTTGTAAATGATATGATTCCTTTGTTTAATGTATTATTTGTAATGTTTTAGGTTATAATGTTTAATCTAGTTGAAATTATAAACTAGCTATACAACAATATTAATTAGTGAAAACAAAATGAAATAGTTTTAAAATTATAAAAAAAGCCTGTGTAAAAAGCTGTTTCATTAAATACATACTCAATATGCAGTATGATATACCAAAAAAATGATGTTTTTGTTTTGTTTTTTGTTGGACCGGGAACTTGGCCCACTCTTGGTCGGTCGGTCGGTCCTGGCGTTTAACGTACACTTCCACCAAGGGTGATATCGTAGACAGGTGTTTCCTAAGAAACTTGCCACAGGAAGCCACAAAATCGGCTTGATCCAGCTTATTTTAGTAAGACGCAGTGTCTTTGCAGGGAAGCAACCAAGTTATATTTCATCGAAAGGAGAGGCTCCGAGTGTAAGAAAAAGAGTGGCGAGCGTGCGCAATCTAGCCCGCTTTGCCATAATGCTAAAAATATTAGGTGTGTACTACTCTTGTGTTTGTTCTTGCTCTTAGGGGTGACACTCTTTGTGAGCCTACGGCTCCGTCGGCGTCAAATTCAATTGAAACTTGGCATGCTTTCCTGGTTAACGGGCTTCGATTTTTGATAAGACGTCACATTTCCAAGAGTGCTGCAATGACTTCTTCTTACGTGATTACTTGACCGTATTGTACACTCGAACATAAGTTTTTTGGGTTTTTTTTTTTCAAAATATGTCACTGGTCGGCAATCTGCACACACAAAACCAGCTAATTCATTCTCAAGAATAGATTTCTGTCCTTAATGGCCGCCATATTAAAAAAATAGTGTAATGGTTTGTAATCAATCTGATTAAAACACAGATCCTATTTCGTTTCGTTTTTATAGTTCAAAATTTCATTTTACTTGTCTTTACTACTTATAGTGTAGGCCATCGAAAGTATAAAAAACGAAACGAAATATAGATCTGTATTTTAATTAGATGGGTTTGTAATGCGTTTCTACTCTGTCCAGTTTCACATCTGCTCACAAAGATAAAATATACTTTTTGTCCCTGTCTTTCGAAGAAAGCAGGGGGCTATTAAAATGGGTTTGTCCGCCCGTCTGTAACTGTTCATTTGAGGCAGTGAAAAGTGCATGGGTTTTCGCTCAATTGAATATGGGTTCATTTCATTTTGGCCGAAGCTATGAACCTGAAATTTACAGGGTCACTACGTGATAACTACACGATAGACTATTCATTTTTCTCTGTTTTTCGGATTCCGTAGCAGTAAAAAAAAAAAAAGTTTTTGACATTTTGGCTTGGTTATTTGCCCATAAATCCTTTTCCTATGATCGAAATAAAAAGGACTGGCATATGGAATTTACCCGTCAGTGCGGGGACGTCCCAATGCAGATATCGTAGTGATGGTACTACACATGTACATGTATGTGTCTGGTTACTCTCTAGATGACGTTTTAAATATTTAGGTCTTCAAATCGAAACAAAAATATATAAAAAGATGTTGTATGTGTTCTTTACATAGTTTCCATATTCTGCATGGCTATTTTACCTAATTTAGTAACTTTCCTATTACTTTATTTAGTCCCGAAATGACCTAGTTTGTGTCGAGTGGACGTTACCCCCCCCCCTCTCTCTCTCTCTCTACTACTACTTTATCCCAACAATCAATATCAAATAGTATCATTGTTAGTCGTAATCTTCAAAAGAACATAACCTTTATGCCTTGCATTCAAAACTTTTCCCTCCCAGAAATAATTGGTCCTTGCAATGTATCTAAAACTAGAATAGAGTTTATGAGTGAGCTATTCCAATATACCAACCCTTGTGAGACTGTCCCCAGTATGATGACAAGACTAAATAATAGTTTCAGGTCCCCACAATGGTCAACAGGCCCCCACAACGATGCCTCTACAATGATAAATGTCGTTATTTTTAATTTTATCAATTTTTACAATATCTAGTATTCTGTAGAATGTCAACCTCTCTATACATACCAGACCAGAAAAAAGTCTTGATTGCATGAGTGGACCATGACGTCCCCATAAGTATGTTCTGGGGAACCTATATGCCGGTATGTGTGCGTGTGTTTATTTCGAGTTTTTTGGTTTTGTTTTTTTCTATAAGTGTGGAAGTGGACGTGAAACTCTAGGAACGAACGTACCAAAAATGTTAAATATCATTATTTGCTTGATAACGATATCTGTATGTGTATCGAAACGTAGCATGTTTATAAATTCAGAAGTAGTATATCCATATAAGTGTTTTTAATTTGTGAAATCTACTTCTATATGTCTTATAAGCAGCGGGACGATTTACCCAATACTACCCAATACCACCCAATAAGGATTAAGGATTAAAACATATAAAAAAATCTTTATTCCACAGATTTCTATGATTTTTTTTTTTTTTTTTTTTTGAATCTTTGTTCCCGGTTGGATTTCTTATAATATAATAGACCATAGTGTAAACACTTCAGTTAATTTATTGTAAACCTCCTGTTATTTATAATACAAGTGTAATCCTTCAGTAAAATATAATTATAAATGTCTTGGTATTGGACAAGTAATACGCCCCGCGTAATAAATCGTACAAGTCAAAGATATATTACTGTAAAATCTATACACGTGTAGACGTCATGTTTATAGAGAAGCGCGCAACCCCTAAATTCAAAATAACGTCACGCAATTATGTCCAATCCCATGATGCACTATAGGTAACCCAGTAACGTCTTATCTATGCCTAGATAGACTTGCGCGCTCTCTACGGATTTTTCAAATCTTTGATAAAAACATAAAAATGGGCTGTATTTATTCGAACCATATCAACAGAGTTGAACCAATATTGGATAAAAGGACAGAAAATCCAGTTATAGATGCATCTACAGATAAATCTGACCTCTTTGTTGTGACCAGAAATAGAAGAATGAAGACATGTTCATCCCCAACACTGGCAAGAAATCAACACATGTGGATTAACCGACCTAAAGTTCGAGCTTCTGGAGGTATTAGTTTTGAGGTAGTGGAGGCTAGTCCCAGGAAAACAGTCCCGATAAAATTGCAGAGAAGAGAAGTTAAATGTATCACAGAGGAAGAGATAACAGAAAAGTTGGTAAAAGCAGAGAAAAGGCGAAAGGTTAGTTCAAAAGAAATACCTTAACCCCCGACCAACAAAACTACCTAATCTACCTGGCCCATCTACTGCAAATGTATGCAGTGGCGAATGGGATTACGAATATCCCTTCCTTCTTGCCTGAACTTTATCTAAATAAGATTTTCGAATATTAACTCTATGCTATTTCCAGTAAGTGATGACTTGACAACGTAGACTGTTAAATTATGAACAGTTTCAGGATGTAAAATAAAGCACAATTCAATATTTTATTTTTAGGAAATACAAGAAGAAATGATCATGAAATTCCATAATGAACGTGGAGGAAAGAGGACATTATTTGAAAAACTCGAGCAAAAAAAGATCATAGAAAAACAAGAATGTCAAAAGGATAAAATGGTTGCCGCCGAAAAAAATAGAGAGATGAAATTAAAAGAATTAAGAGACAGACTGAAAGAAAAAAACAATAAGTCAGAGATAGTAAGAAGCAGAAGAGAAATAACTGGAGAACATATCGGCGGTTCTTTAGTTAGCCGACCAGTAACACAAACATCGGCTGGTTTCAGCTTTGAAATCCTTCAGATCAATCCAGCACTACCAGAAGGACACCCAGCAAGGTTGGAAACACTGAGTAGAATAAGAAAGAATAAATTGGAGAAGATAAACTTAAATAGACGAGAGGTCAGTAATACTATTGTCTCCTATATGGAATGCAATACGGGTTCAACATCCGGTCGACACAATATCGGTTATTTTGCGACTATATAACTACAGAAGTTTATAGTTTTATGGTTGCGTGTGTTAAGTTATTGTTACAAGTTAACGGCTTTTCTGACAACACGTCTTAAGCTGTCCAAAACGCTTTTGAACGCTGTCCAAATTTGACCACCACAAACTCCTTTTCCTGCAAATTGAGCCCATGAGTACAGCAACTTGAATGGATAACATATTCAGCCTCAGCGGTATATTCATATGATTTTGCAACATTAATCCCACTCAATGCCAATAAATCAATCAGACTCCCTAAATTCAACTTAATGCAAAAAATGATGAAACAAAATGATGATGCCCGTAAAAAATGCTGCGCATACAGCAAAGTGGATCCAGAGCAATCAGTCAAAAGGTTTCGGGCACTATTTTGCCGACTAGAAAGCAAAGGATTATTTTCTAAAAGAGTACTGTGTTCCGATTCCCGAAAAATTGATGACACAAAATAATGATCGATGCCCGAAAACTGTGTACAATGCATGTGATTTCGGACACTTATATCTTTTTCTCACTTTACCGGTCTGACCAAAATATCTGATTGTCAGCCCCCCCCCCACCCGGCTGGTGCACCGATGCAACAAGTATCCCCCAACAAGGTTCTGACCCACTCACGGGTTCAGTCCACTGTTGAATAAATTAAAATTATTTTCTCTATTTTGTTCAATAGAAAAGTGAAGAAGACAATATAATGCCAAGGCTGGCAGCAGTAGTAATGAAAGAAAAAGAGGAATTACAGATAGAAAAAATGATGAAGGCCCAAAAGAATAGAGAGAAAAGATTATTAGAGATGAGAGAAAGATTGAGAGCGAGAGAAGCGCGTGCAGCGAGAATAAAAATGATGAAAGATTTAAATTTAGACGATCTCGATGATCCATCATAAACTAAAAGTGTATGAATTTTCATCAGCGGCGTTATGACTTGAAGGAGAAATCTAGGCTGATTTTATAACTGAATAATTCTTTGTAGAATGCTTTTAGAGCCCTTTATTGTAATTATTTATAAACGGCTCAATATTTTGAGCTAAAACTTAAACATACATTATGCAAGAGCTAAATCTGTTTGGCCTTCTTTAGGCCTGAAATGTTATCTAAATTATTAATAAGACATTTACTCGTCCAGACCATAATCAACTCTCGATGGCATCGCTAGGCTGCGATATTTACTGGATTAGAACCCGGTCTGCTGCTTCTGATTAAATCAAAACGAGGATAATCGAGACTATGTTTCTTATCGTACCGACTTTAGTAATGATGATCGAGGCTAGGTCCAAAATTCAATCGCTAAATACTCGGTTCAGGGTGGATCATTTAGACTGAAATCTTTA